CCTGCAAAACCATACTTTTATATTTTGTAAGCTTTGTCAATTTCATGATTTGGTCAAAAATTGAGTATTCCTGTATGGGCAGAGCTAGAATCAAAGCGGCCACGTACCACATCTTCTAGTGCTTTCCAAGGAGCATTTGATGTTAGCTTCTAGGTGGCTTAGTTGTTGTTATTGGCTGTCACGTTGATTCCAACTCATGGCAATCCCATATGTGTAGAACAGAATTGTTTAGGCTGTGATCTTTCGGAAGTGAATCACTCGTCTTATCTCTGGGTGGGTTCAAACCACTAAGTGTGACTATTAGACAAGCACTCGACCATTTGCACAACTGGGAGATTCCTTCTAGATGACTGGACCAGGACCTAAGTTGTACAGCATATGTTGTACAAGAGGTATTCCTTTCGAGTAAGCAGAGAAAACTTGAGAATACAATTCTGAGGCTATGAGAAGAATAGCTATGATAAGGAGTATCAAATATGTTTTACAACATGAAGGCTAGCTAAGCACAGTGCCATACTAAAAACAAACGAACGACAACAAAAATGTGGACAATCAGATGACTTCTGGGCTCCCTCTTAATTCTAACTCCAATCCAAGAACAGTTGGTTCTTATAATATGGCCTTGCTTATACTCGCCTTCATGAAGAGCTCACTGAAGATAAGGGTGCTACAGCAAGGTGTGGTGAAGAAGGCAGATGGTGCCAGGCTATCAATTGGAATAGTATCTGGGGTCTTAAAGGCTTGTATTCAAACAAGCAGCCATCTAAGTGAGGCATCACCTACACTCACATGGAAGAAGCACACCAACCTGTGAGATCCAAAGATGACAATAACAAAATCCAAATATCGGAGCCTATTTGTGAACACCCAATTTGTAGAAGTCTAAGGAGGACAGTGGGAACCCAACGTCCATCCGCAGAGTATCTACTCAGGTAAAGCCTCTGACAGATCCCCTCTGGCCCTAGGCGAGGGATGCAACAGCTTACTTACCAGACAAAGATGATTGTAAACTTGATTATGGTGGATGGAACTACAATATAATATGAAGGCGAGTATAAGCAAGGCCATATTATAACATCAAATGCTCCTTGGAAAGCACTAGAAGATGTGGTACGTGGCCGCTTTGATTCTAGCTCTGCCCATACAGGAATACTCAATTTTTGACCAAATCATGAAATTGACAAAGCTTACAAAATATAAAAGTATGGTTTTGCAGGAGCAACAGACTGAGTAAAAATGTGTTATGCTTTTTAACTAATAACTAATATATAAATTTCTGGTGGTCTTTTCTTTCTAACTTTTTATTTTTATCTTTATATTTTTTCCCTTTGTTTCATTTTGTCTTTTATTGTTTCTGTTAAGCTTCCCAGTTTATGAAGCACAGAAAGAGTGGATGCATAGAGATGATAATAACTGATGTAATGGTTTAATGGGATGGGGCATGGGGAAGTTGGGGGAATTGGAAGCAAATAATGAATGTGGGAGGAGGAAGAAGTACTAGAACTGACTGTAATGATATATATGTAACTTTTTCCCCAAACTCTTTTTAAAAGAGACTGTGTTAGGCCGAGTTGACTAGAGGAACAAATTCCAAGACACTCATATGTGTGTACGAAAGAGCTTTATATCAAAGAGTGATGTATATTGAGAAAACATCCCAGACAAGTCCATAAATCTGATATTAGCCATCAGTTCTATACTAGTCCATAAATTCCTCTCCAGACTCACATTGCCACTTACAATGATGCCGAATGCAAGAAGATCACAGGCCGGTGGGTGAAAACTCTTGTGGATCCATTGGCAGTGGAAGCATCACAGGGCTGTCTCTGCAGGTCTCCTCCACATGGCTCACTCAGGTCTCAGCATGGCTCCACAGGGGCTTGTCCACAGGAAGATGAGACAGAGAAGGAGTGTGGGGCCTACTTCCAGGGAGGAAATAGAGGAAGTCCCCAGAATCCTCATGAGAAGGCCATGCCCAGAAGGAAGCATCAGACTGTGATCTGATTGACAGGCTAGACTCCACCCCTTCACTCTTAATAACCTCAAATTGACACCAGATTATGTAACTCCCACAGTGGCTTAATTATGGAAGTGGATGGTATGCGAATTTTATATCAGTAAAACTATTTTAGAAAGACAGAAAACAAACACACATCTCACTGCGATCAAGTTGATTCCGACTCACAGTGACCCTGTAAGACCAGGTGGAACTTCCCCCTGAGCGTTTCCTAGACTGTCACTCTTTAGGAGAATAGAAAGTCTCATCTTTCTTCTGCAGAGCTGCTGGTGGTTTTGAACTGCCGCTTCTGTGGTTAGCAGCCCAATCTGCAACCCACTTTCCCACCAGAGACAAAAGAGACATCCTACTCTAACACTTCAGGAGCCGGACATTGTACGAGGGAGCATGGAGAGGGCTTCCAGAGCAAGGAGGCTGAGGTGATTCCAGCCCAGGGAGAAGGTGGGGTTTAGGAAGCCTTCCTAATACCGAGGAGATAAGAAATGAGCCAAGTGCAGTGTGTGAGGTTGCCCAGTGGATGGTGGGGTATTGCGTAGGAAGAAGGTATTTGGCAGAAAGTTCTGGTTAACCCTCTGTAGTGATGGCGAGGGGAAGCAGCTGGGACTCAATGAGCAAACATAACCCAAACTAACCCTGCTTAATTGAGTTGACCCTGACTCATAGTAACCTTATACAGGATTTCTGAGACTGTGAATCTTTGCCAGAGCAGACAGCCTCATCTTTTTCCCTCAGAGCAACTGATGGGCTCAAACTGCTGACCTTGTGGCTAGCCGTCCAACACTTAGCCCCTCGTGCCCTCGGGGCTCCAGGGAGGCCAGACATACCTAGGTTTAAATTCTGAGTTCCCTATTGTGTTTTGCAGGAGGTTCTTTGGCCTCGCTAAGACTCAGTGTCACTGAACTCAAATTCGAGGCAAAGACAACCACAGACTCTGTAGGTGACGTGCCTGATACATCACGGGCGCCAGGGGAACACTGGCTTCCTTCTCTTCCTCCTCTAATTCTGAGACCACCAAGATTCAAGTCCATTGCTCCTCCTTCCTCCTCTAGGTGACTCTGGTACCAGCTGGTGGAGCAGCGGATGATGGCGTCCACGCTGCAAGGACCCAGTGAGTACCGGGAGAGAGGGCTCGGGGAGATGGCCCAGGAGAGAACAGGAGACTGGACTCTGTGCCTCAGCTCTTTCTGGTCCCTCCCTCCTGTGGTGACTCAGACCCAATTTCTCCTGGCCCAGGGCTTCCTGCCGACCCTGACCTGCTGCTGATGCAGGAAGGCATGCAGCTGCGCAAGGTGAGGTCGAAAAACTGGAAGAAGCTCAGATACTTCAAACTTCAGGATGACGGCATGACAGTCTGGCATTCCCGGCAGATGGGGTGGCGTGCCAAGCCCAGCTGTGAGTGCTGTGGATGGTTGGGGGTGGGCAGGGGGTCAGGAGAAGGCTGAGGCCCTCAGGAGCATGAGGTCAGGGAAGGGCCCAAGATCCTACAAGAGCATGCTGGTTGCACCATCCTTCCTTGGGTCTTCTGTCTGAGCCTGTGTAATAGAGATTATAACCAGGGCTTTGAACCAGCTCAATCCAGCTTGGTCACTGCCTACAAAGCAATATAGGAACGGAATTTTTCAAGATGGGGGAACCAGAATGCCAACTGGAACAGAGCCGAATCACGGGTCAAGCCCTGCTAGAAATGTAATCTCCCTGTAAGAAAATAAGGGCAGCATGTGTGTTGCTTGGCTGTCAAATCTCGTGGCCTGCTGCCTCAAGAACAACAGTGGCCGGCTCCAAGATGGCAGCTGATCATGCTGCGTTCAGTGTGTGTCACCCTCCACCATGTTGGCGATAATCCAGTCTCCTGCATCAGACTCCGGAAAGGGTGCACTACACCTCTGCAGAGTCTCCATGCAGGAGGGAAAACCTATAGTTTTTTCTCCTTCTTGATAGTGTTCCAGTACCCCCACATTTGACAAATTTGGGTCTCTTCTGATTTTGCTGCATCTGCCATGACTGAACCAGCCTGAGCCAGCTCAAACCGCTGCAAGCCCTGCCAGGCACATGGGAAACCTCAATAAATCATAGGTTATCTCTTGTTATCATTGCCTTAAGAACCTAACCCCAGGCATCCGCCATCCTGGATTAAACCGCTGGCTTGGCCTCTTTCCAGCTGAATAGACTTGGACCAGTTACTAACATCTCTGAGCTTCTGTTTCTTCCACTCTCTGATGGGGATCCAATAGTCACTAGCTCATAGGTTACAGGGACTCCACACGATCATGTGAGGAGGCATTTAGGACATACTGGGTGTTATGTAAAGAGTTGTAGTATTGTAAGTGCGCCATCACATTCTGAATCCAATGCCAGGCTCCTTATGAGATCGCTAGATGTATCGAAGACAGCCCAATTAGGTAACAGAGGCACGGCTCTTGATCTATACCAGCTTTAGCTGAGGTCGGGGGTGGGGAATGGGGTGGGGGGGTGCAGCGGAGGGCAGAATTGGTCTGGCTCCATTCTGAATATTCTAGGAAGAGGAAGCCCTCAGACCTGGGATGGAAGAACTGGCCTTGGCGTATAATGTTGTGGAGTAACTTGTGTCGACCTCTCCAGTGTGCTTCCATCTGGCAGCCCTAGGCATTTCTCTGCAGTGCTCACAAAAACTGGGCCACGGAAGGGGGCCTTAAAGACGAGGACACGCAGAGGTTAAGTCTGCGCCACACTGCCAGCTGGTGGCTGGAAGCCTGGTCTTGTCACTCCCAGGTCAGGCCCCTTGCCAGGCTGCCTATAAAAGCAGCAGTGATTCATGGGCCCCTTTGCATCCCAGGGAACTGCATCTCGTCTCCCCCACTTTATGTCCTTTAGCAGGGACCATGACCGTTGTCTGTCTAATGCCAGTCTTAGGGTGTGTGCTGCTGCAGTGAGCACAGTGCTGATGCTCTGGGGGGTCCAGCCCATGGGGCTGGGCTTCCTGCTCCCTCTGGCTTCACAGACAAGAAAGGGGTGCTGGTCCTTGGGAGACTCCCTTCCTCAGCTCCCCACCCACCGCTTTCACCCCCCCACCCCCCCAACAGTCTCGATCTCCGACGTGGAGACGGTGCGGGAGGGCCTGGACTCGGAGTTGCTGCGCAGTCTGGCTGAGGAGTTCCCTCTGGAGCAAGGCTTCACTGTTGTCTTCCACGGACGCCGCTCCAACCTCGACCTGGTGGCCAACAGTGCTGAGGAGGCCCACGTCTGGATGCGGGGGCTCCAGCTGCTGGTGGATGTCGTCACTAGCATGGACCGACAGGAGCGGCTGGATCAGTATCAGCAGGACAGAGTCTGGGTGGGGTGGGCTGCAGGGAGAGGGGCAAGTGGGAGGGGCTGCACAGCTATCGAGGTTCAAGGGTCCAGATGGGGTGGGCAGGGCTGCTCAGACCCTTATGAGGTTGAGGAACCCTCCCAAGGCAGGGACGAGTACTAGGGATGGCAAAGACATAGTCAAGGGTCCAGGCCTGCCTGAAGGCCCCAGGACAGGGGAAAGGACCCATGGGAGGCCACGGACCAAACAAGGTGCTGAACCCAGGAGCTGAACACCTTGAGCAACTATCACATGGGTGGGAAGCAGCCATCAAAGGTGTAGTCTCACTTCATGTTTCCTGCATTGCACTACCCTGCCCCCATAGGCGTTCATTCACCACCCGATCAGCAAAATGCGCCAGGTGCGATGCCAGGCTTAGCCGTCTTTCGTGAGATTATCAATTTAGTCAGAGGCTGCTTCAGTCAGTGGAGGGGATGGAGCCATGTGAGCACCGCACGTGGAGTAATTGTGGGTGTTCAAAGGGCGGAGAAATCCTTACTTCCAACTTAGATGGGTCTGAAAGTTTCAGGGAGAATTGGGCATTTGAGCTGGGCCTGGAAAATGAGAAGACTTTGAGCGTGAAGAGGAGGAGGGAAACAGCCCGAGCAGAGATGGGGCTTTGAAGAGCTGGTGGTTGCTGAGTGCGGCTGACGCACAGAGAGGAGCCAGAGATGTGCTGAGAAGGCTGGGTGGAGACTAGATCGTGGGGATAAAGGGAGCCTTGAAGTCCATGTGAAGGCACTTGAACTTCTTCCTGCAGGCACCAGGGGGTTTCTCCTGTAGGCTCCTAAGCCACAGGCTTGATGCTCTGGGAAGATTATGCAGAGCTGTGTGATGGATGGATTGGTGTGAGAGAGAGACAAAGATGAGTCACACTGATGTAGAAACACACACACACACACACACAGTGCTTTTTCCTTAACACAGACCTGGATGGCTGAGTGACTGGTTCCAGCACGGAGACAAAAACCAGGATGGTCGGATGAGTTTCCGAGAAGTGCAGCGATTACTGCACCTGATGAATGTGGACATGGACCACGACTATGCCTTCCGGCTTTTCCAGGTGAGCTTGTCTGCTGGGGCAAGATCGGCAGGGCAGCCAGACCACCCTCCCATCTGGCCAGAAGCCTTCTGACTCTCACGGACAGTGCTCATTGCTACATCCCTACTACGCACCCTCACACTGTGCCACACTTGGAGGGGAAGCGAGGGATGACGTGCCCCTCAGTGGGGTTGGAAAGATGAGTCCCTGGCGGTGCATACTGTCAAGCACTCAACTACTAACCCCAAAGGCTGGCTGTTCAAACCTGCCCAGAGGTACCTTGGAAGACAGGCCTGGCAATCTGCTTCTGAGAGGTCCCAGCCTTGAAAGCCTCCTGGGGCAGCTCTGCTCTGCCCGAGCAGGGTCCCCCCGGAGTCCGAATAACCAAGCCCACAGCAACTAACAACCACCACCACCACCCTGTGACAGGTCCATCACGGTGTTACTGAGGTCAGCCTGTTCACGGCCGAGTGAAGGATGGGGGTGTGAGTAAGTAGGAAGAGGAGAGGGGTCTTCTGACCCTTTCGGAATCCTCGGGACAGTCAACTCTTCCTAGCCGAAAACGTTCTCTAATAGCAAATGGTATGGCTTTTACTTCCTGAAGTAGCTTTGCCCAGGAGCACTAAATCTTGAGTTCTGTGGGAATTTCGTGGAAGGCTGCGTGGAGCTGTCCGTGGGTAGACTGGCTCTCCCGGAGCCAGTCAAGGGCATCCAGTGTCTGCTCCGAGAGTTTGCGTGCTCACTTCTCCCCTAAACTCTCGCTGGCAGGCAGCAGACACGTCGCAGTCCGGGAAGTCAAGACCATCCAGTGTCTGCTCCAAGAATGTGCTTGCTCACGTCTCCCCTAAACTCTCTCCGACAGGCAGCAGACACGTCGCAGTCCGGGACTCTGGAGGGAAAAGAATTTGTCGAGTTCTACAAGGCACTGACTAAGCGCGTGGAGGTGGAGGAACTGTTTGAAAACTTCTCGGCCGATGGGCAGAAGCTGACATTGCTGGAGCTTGTGGATTTCCTCCAAGAGGAGCAGCAAGAAGGCGACCGGGCACCTGACCTCGCTCTAGAGCTCATCGAGCGTCATGAGCCTTCAGAGAGCGGTAAGAGGGCTCGCATGCAGGGGCAACGGCGGGAGAAGCAGAGGAGGGCCAGACTCGAAGGACCCAGGCAGGCTGAGTGTATCCCTACCCTCGGCCCCTGCCCTAGCATCTCACTCATCTGCTCCCGCGGAGGAAGAGCAGCCATTCTCTGTGTCCTCTTTTTCAGAACACGTTATTCCTTTCCCCCTGGTTTCCCTTCATGGTTCTTGCTTGCTGTCCCATGAAATCCTGGCTCTCCGCTCTGTCCTGGGCCCTCTCCAAATCTCCTACGTGGCTCTTTAAGCCTCAGAGCTAGGAAACTATTTAGCCCCAGGATGAATGGATGGGGGACCCAGCCAGCCAATCAATTAACTGTTAGCAAATGCAGTTCAGATAAGCTCTCTCTGCCTTCGCACCTCCTCCTCTTACCTTTCTATCTATCGCCTTCAGAGTGTGAGGATTTTATATGATTAATAACACATTATTTACAAGGCACTTTCACATACCTAGCTTTATTTAGTACTTAATACAGCCCTGTAGATCATCTTTGTTGGACCTTTGTTAAGTAACCCATAGCTCACTGCTACTGAGTTGGTTCTGGCTTATAGTGAGCCTATAGAACATAGTGACCCTATAGAACAGGGTAGAACTACCTCTGTCGGTTTCTGAGACTGTAATTCTTTATGGGAGTAGAAAGCCTCATCTTTCTCCCACAGAGTGGCTGGTGGTTCTGAACTGCTGACCTTGTGGCTAGCAGCTCAATGAGTAACCACTACACCGCCACTAGGGCGCCTAAGTATCCTATAGTTTACTGATATCTTTACGTGCCCTCTCTCTTCTCATCCCAGTGAAAAAGCTTCTTCTTTTTTATTGTGGTTAACATAGATGGACCAAGAAATTGCCATCTCAACACTCTTCAATGTACAATTCAGTGACATTAATCACTTTCATCGTATTGTACAGCTATCACTATTATCCATTTCCAATCTTTTCATCAACCGATGCTCGGTGTCCCCTAAGCAATATATTCTATTATGAAGACAGTTTTAACAAATGAGGAAAGCAGAGGCTTAGAAAGATTCAATAACTTGCCCAAAGCTGATCACTAATGAGAGCAGGGGTCGGGCTCCAACGTGCAGGCCATTGGGTGCTACCCGGTGCCTCTTAAGGATGAGGATTAGAGATGGGATGAATGAGAGCCGAGTCTCAAATGCCCCCAGCCCAGCCCAGCCCCATGTACTCACCCATTTCCTGCTTGAGCTCATGTCTATTGACTACCTAGAATGTGCCAGGACCTATTGGAGGCACCAGAGAGAGGGTGGTGACGAGGCCAGCCAAGGACACTCCCCTCATCAGTTTAGAGTCAAACAGAAAGCTATGGTCGCCATTGCGAATGCAGATTTGTGTGCGTGCTCACAGAAGAAAGAGGCTGCAAACCAATCATTCAGGAAAATTGAATGGAAGAGGAATATCAGATGGTTAAGAAACGGGATCTTCCATTCGTGATGTAGGATCCAACATAAAAGAGTACAATATATGAGTCTACTTTCTCTGGGCACCTTGGTTCTCCCTCCCCGTGTATCCAATCGTCAGTTGCCCCCTGGAGGAACAGAAGTCTGGTGGCAGAGTCTAATGTCAGATCCGGAAACCCGTGCTCAAGTGCGCCATGCTGCTTTTTACAGACTTCTTACAACTCACCACGTTAAGGCCACGATTGCCAGATACGTCTAATGTGCTTTATTTCATTTGGTCACCAATTGCTTTACAAAAGAGGAGACCAAGTCTCAGAGAGGTCAAGTGACGTGCCCACGTGGTCACAGAGTTTCTCTTTCAGAAACTATGAAACTCTCTCTTGGAACTGAGGAACTGACTGAGGCTGATATACTTTTTTTCCCCCCAAGGTCAAGTGACAAATGGAAAAATACCATAGCCTCTCTGAGACTCAATAGTTTCTTTTGTAAAACAATTGGTGACCAAATAATGCAGATTAAAAGTGTCTGGCAACCATGGATGTATCCTTATGATTTATTACTCTCAGAATGAAGTTTGCCAACCCACTCACTTCCTGCCACATTCTCTATCCTCCTCTGACTTTGTCAAATCGGAGGCAAGGGAGCTGAGCATGAGAGTCAAGTTGTTCTGCTTCCCAAGGGAAGCAAAGTTACCCTCCATGGGACTACAGAGACCAGCGTGGCTCTAGCTACTGGGGGTCAAGTCCCAGTGTCTCCACTGACTAGTAGCGTGAGCCTGAGTAAGTTAGCCCCTGAAGAGTGGATGGTATTATACCTTCATTGTGTTACAGCATTAAGTGAGATGCCACCTGTAAGGTGCTTGGCATAGAGCACATGCTCAATGACTGTTAGTGATCCTTGTTGCTACTATAGCAAGTCCATGCTGGAATAAGGAGCCCCGGTGGCAAAGTGGATTATAAGCTGGGTTGCTGATGACAAGGTCACCAGTTTGACCCCACCAGTGGCTCCATGGGAGAAAGATAAGACCATGTGCTCCTATCTCCACTGCCCGATAGAGTCGCTATGAGTCAAAACGGACTTGACGGCAGTGGATTTGGGGGTTATGCTGGAATAGTGAGGACGATGGGAGGCGTGACAGAGCCCAGTCCTCAAAGAGAATGTAGTATGGATGAGAGGTCAGAGAGGTCAGGTTGACAGCATCGATACAACTGGGGGAAGGGGACCCCGGGAGGGGACCCCACACACACACAGCGACTTTGACTGTGTTACTAACACAAGCCTTTGACTCTTTGGTTCTCTCCGGGCCTCATCTATACAATTAGCCTTTTGGAAAAGATACTCTGCTATTCATTAGCCACATGCTCTGTTTGACTATTTACACTTCATGACAATCAAATAAAATGCCAAATCCACAAGCCCTGTGTGGTGAGAGACTACTGGATTGGACAGTGCAGAGTGGACATATCCCTCGTCCCGAAAACTTCTCTTGGACACTGTTGCCCTCAAGTTATTTTGAGATCCCCCCACGGAAGCGTAAACGTTCTCTGCGGGTGGGAAGGATGGAAATACAAGGGTCAGATGGGGGAAGTGTGTGATTTGGAGGAGGGGAATGGACACCATCGGAAAGACAGACTCCTGGAGGAGGGGGAGGCGGGGGAGGAGGGAATGCAGGTGCTGGGAGCCCCCACCCAGTGTCTCACTCTAGGGTTTCCCTCCTCCACCCCACTAGGCAAATGGCGGCGTGTGCTAAGCATGGATGGCTTCCTTAGCTACCTCTGCTCCAAGGACGGAAACATCTTCAACCCAGCCTGCTACCCCATATACCAGGACATGTCCAAGCCCCTGAGCCACTACTACATCAACTCCTCCCACAACACTTACCTGGTGGGGGACCAGCTGTGTGGCCAGAGCAGCCTCGAAGGATACATACGGTGAGGGACCGAGTTTAGCTCCTGAGCAGGGAACCTGCGGGGAACTGCAGCAGGGGGAGGAGGGAGAGGGGTGTCCTGGACCACAGAGATTGAGAAGATGTTGGAGGGCTGAAGGGATAAGGGTCCCTGGATCCCCGAGGGACCTGAAGGAGATACTCGTGACTAGAGGAAGAGATGGTAATGAAATGCAGAAGGAGCGTCTCTTTCACCGGTCATGGGACACTCTCAGAACTTCCTGGTTCTGGCAGATTGATTTCTTCAGGTAAATGCAAGACAGTAGGTTGAAGGAATGAGAAACACACGTTCCCGAGTCAACCCATCTGAATTCCAAGTCCCAGGATCGAACCTCTCCAGACCGCGGCTGAGGCGTGCTGGTGGAGTGGTGGTCATGCGTGTTGGGCTGCCATCCTCAAGGTCTGCAGCTCGAGACCACCGGCCCCTCTGAGGGGGAAAGAGGAGGCTTTCTCTCCCCATAAAGAGTTCCAGTCTTGAAGACCCACAGGGGCAGTTGTACCCTGTCCTCGAGGGTCCACTGGACAGCAGTGCGTTTGGTTGTGAGTCGGAGGCCTCAGTGTCCTTATCTCTGCAACCCGGCGATCACAGTCCCTTTTCTACCCGAGTGGTGGCGCAGCACATACATGAGATAATCCTGAGGGTCAACACTCAGTGAGTAGTCTAACCCATTGTGCTTGCGGTGCGGTATCCATTTGAACTCCTGGCAATCCCAGGGGCTACAGACTGGAACTGCTACCTAGGGTTTTCTTGGCTCTAATCATAAGGGAAGCAAATCACCAGGAGGTTCTTGCCCAGTACTGCTGGGCGGACCCAAGCGTCACCTCTAGATGAGCTGTGAGACCAAAACTGCACTCCTCATGCACCTGACTCTAAGTTGCAGCAGCTTTAATCGTCATGACTTGTACATTAGGCCGAGTAGCCACGATAGCTTTGCTTTGCCAGTAACCTAGCTAGTAGCTTCACAGGCTACACACAAGAATGAAACAGTCTCTGCCCTAGGAAGATGACAGTCTAGGTCAGAAAATCAAGCTTAACTTGGCCGGGAATTTGACTAATCAAGGATTGTGTAAGGATGCACAACCAAACAGCAGAAGTATCAGGAGCCGACATGCTATAAGCAAGGCCTGTGAGGTGGGGTGGGGATGGGAGCGACGACCTATGTGGTGGAGGCAGTGTCCCGGTGGACAGAGAAGGCTCCACGGAGAGTAGCTCAGAGGGGTGCGTGCTGGTGAGTGGTGTTCTCCCCAGTGCTGGGGGAGTGTCTCATGAGATCTTAACCCCTGCTCTCTCTGGGGGCTGGGTTCTTGCAGGGCCCTGAAGCGGGGCTGCCGTTGTGTGGAGGTAGATGTTTGGGATGGCCCTAATGGGGAACCCATTGTTTACCATGGACACACCCTGACCTCCCGAATCCTGTTCCAAGATGTCGTGGCCACAGTAGCGCAGTACGCCTTCCAGGTAGGAGTGTCGGATGGGACTGTTGGTGAGGAAAGAGGGGCTAAGCATGGGGAGGGCAGAGAAAATCCTATGACATGATGTGAGTAAAGGAGATTTCAATTGGAAAGCACCAGGCTGATATTTTGGATGATTATGAGTGTTAAAGGTGTGCCAGTAATCACAGCGGTCCTTATGAGAGGTTAGTCGCCACTAGGTCCAATAGCAAAGACCTGGGAGAAAGCAGGGATGAGGAAACAGAAAGCGGTGGGGAGACCTCGGGGGCAACAGGAATCTGGAGATGAATGTTTAGGAATGTAACATGAACATCTAATCAGGGGAATGGGATTGCCTCTTGAGACTGAAAATGCAAAGGCCTGGAGGAACTTGGATTAGACTTGTTCCAACCCAAGGCATGAGAGTTGGGCCCCCAAAGTGACCTTTAGATGTGGGCAGTGTCCCGGGGTGGACTTCAAACACAGACAAGCTCTCTGAGTCTGGGAAAGGGACTAGAGCAGCCAAGAAATCCAGATACTCAGCAGACTTGAGTAACGAGGGGTTCTGGGAAGCAGGGGTTTGGAGAAGCTGGGGGGTTACAGGGCTTTAGAACTCTGTATCCTGGTTCCCTTCCTCTCACCACTAGACATCAGACTTCCCAGTTATCTTGTCCTTGGAGAACCATTGCAGCTTGGAGCAACAGGAGGTCATGGTGCATCATCTGACCGAGATCCTGGGGGAGCAGCTGCTGAGCACCACCTTGGATGGGCTGCTGCCCACTGAGCTGCCCTCACCTGAGGTAGGAGCACTGTTCCCCCAGCCCAGGCGCTCCCCGGCCTCCCACAGCCTCCTCTCGCTCCTTTCTTCCCAGTCTCAGATGGGCCACCTGGCCCTTCAGTCCTCATGGAGACAGCTTGGACAAACGCAAAACATTCTCGTTGAACATAACGCTCTATGTATAGTTCTCTCAACTTGAAATCAATTATTTACAATATATGCTTTACCCCCAGTGGATACATCTTACCTTTCCCCTGATGTTCATAATTGTTGTAGAATATGCCAACAATCTTGAGAAAGGAACCCCCTGATAATACCAACATCTCCATGATAACAGCTGTCAATCAATATTAAAAAGACTTACATTGTAGGTATGTCTTTTGTATATCCACATGAAGAAAATAAGAAAATGTTGTACTGTTTTAATACTTCTCACATATAAGATGTGTCACCGATGTCATCTATGTGTGTGTGTGTGTGTGTGTGTGTGTATTGGTTAGGCATTGATTTGCTAACAGTAAGAATAGCAGTTCAAGCCCATCAACCACTCTACAGGAGAAAGATGAGGTTTCTACTCCTGTAAAGATGTACAGTTTCAGCAACTCTATATAGAGTCACTGCAAATCAGAACTCATGACTGAATGGTCACAGCGTGGGTTTATAATATCCCATAACACACTGTGGGCATTAATCTGTGTAAGTAGCTCCTCACATTTAGGTCGTTTATAATTGTTCACTTATACAAACAACTTTGCTCATTTATTACACCTTTGAGGTGGAGTCCCAGAAGCAAACTTGCTGGCTTGAAGAGTTTGCAGACTGATACCTTTCTTTTTAATGGGCTAAGATGATTTTTTAATAAATATTAGTGAGTCTGTTATTATTTCAATATTACTTAAAAATTAATAAAATAATATTATCTTGATATTCATTACAGGAAATTGTGTTCTTAACATAGTTCATCGAATGCATACTAATACTTTTGATGGTTACTGCTAAGTTGCCCTCTGAAAATACACCAAGTAATACTCCAACCATCAGTATGAGAGTGGTCAAAAGTAACTCCAGGATTGTAGTTACTTTGATTTGTAGTACTAAACATGAAAAAATGTTTTTTTTAAGAAAAAAAAAATTCTTGTTTATTTTCTTTTGAATTATTTATAAATATCATTTACTTGTTTTTATTAGGGTTTCTATTGATGTATAACAAAATTGGGTTGCTAACCAAAAGACAAGCAGTCCATACTCACTAGCCAAGCTTCAGGAGGAAGAGAAAGAAATTTGCAGCCTCAGGAGCCCCATATGGAATCACTATGAGATGGCATCAACTTGATGATGCCCTTGGGTTTGGGTTACTGTAAGGCATCTTCTGCCTTACAGAAGTTTCTAAGCGTTATGAGGTCAAGTCTGTCAATGTTTCCTCTTATCCTTTTTTTTTTTTAAACATTTTATTAGGGGCTCATACAACTGTTATCGCAATCCATACACACATCAATTGTGTAAAGCACATTTGTACATCATTCTCAAAACATTTTCTCTCCACTTAAACCCCCGACATTAGGTCCTCATTTTTTCCCTCCCTCCCCGCTCCCCCCTCCCTCATGAGCCTTTGATAGTTTATAAATTGGTATTTTGTCATATCTTGCCCTGTCCGACGTCTCCCTTCACCCACTTTTCGGTTGTCTGTCCCCCGGGGAGGAGGTCCCTCTTATCTATTTTGAATCTTCATGTCATATTTCTAAAGACCTTCACACCATAATGTTACTTTGGAAGTCTAATTTTTTCTAGTACTTCTATGCTTTATATTTTTGCACATACACATCTTTGAGGGACTTTATATATCAAATGTGAAGTAGGGATCTTATTTTATTTGTTCCGTAAGGATAGGAATGCTCCAGGTCACCTAACAATAAGGAAATCCCCCGTGTGTCGAGCAGCCAGTTATCCGGGAGGAACTGCAGACCGTCACATGGTCCGAAGTCTGAGGTGTCCTTGGGGTGACCTTGTGAAAGCCATAGGATGTGTGTGATCCTCAAGAGGGTCCAAGAGCACATAAGAAGACAGACCCTTTATTTTCGTTCTTAAGGAGCTTCGAAGGAAGATCCTACTGAAGGGAAAGAAGTCAAGGACACTTGAAGAGGATCTGGAGGAGGAGGAGGAAGAGGAAGAGGAGGAGGAGGAGCCTGAGGCTGAGGCTGAGGCTGAGCCCAAACCCGAGCCTGAGCCCGAGCCCCAGGAGTTAAGCCCTCGGAGTAAGGACAAAAAGAAGAAGGTGAGCCCGGACTGTTTTTTCTCTGCCTGGCATTTGGCCAACCTGCAACACAAATGGAGTGTGGGTATATGAAAAGAGACTACAGGCATGGGAGGTCATGGGCCAAAAGGGGAGCAAAATGCTCTCTCTCCTCCCAATGAAAAAGGGCTGTCGGACAACAAACACCGTGATTGTCTAGTGGCATCTGTCAATGTATTGTAGCGGCTTCCCAACTCCCTTAGGCCATGAAATCCTTTGAGATGAAATTTATAGGCAAGTTGAGTATACACAATAAATCCATGCACAGCCATCCTGGTTGATGCGTCTATTTGGCCCTCTCCTGGGTCCTGCAAGTGACTCCTGAGACACCTTGGTATAACTTCTCAGTCTCCTTAAGGCCCAGTTGGAAAATGGATAGGGGTGTGTGTGTGTGTGTGTAACATTATGGGAGGCCACTGGAGCGATTGCTGGGACTGCAACCAAAGTGAGCTTCATTCAGGAAAGCTTCTAAGAAAGGGTGTTTTGAAAAGAGGTCAGACATGGCCAAAGATGAACAGGAGCGAGACGTTTTGAGGCAGAGAGATGTAAGCTCTGAGAAGGCTCCTTCTTGCGGGGAAAGGAGGCAAAGGGTGGAGAGGTGCTACTGGGGGACTTTCTAAGGTCAAGGTTTTAAGTCTGCATTTTTCTCCGGCATGTGCTGGCTCCACTGACGGGTGTTGGGCTTCTCCTGTTCTCTGCAGGGCCGTGGTGCCTAACCTGCCATCACATCCAGGAATGGAAATGGGAATGCACAGGCAAACCCAGAGAGAGTGCTCTGGGACCCTCACATCCTTCCTAGGGGTGACTTCCAGGACGGCTCTTATCCATGACCCCTTGTATCGACCTGAATTCATGTGCATTTGACCAAGGATTAATATTCGTTTTTGTTTTTAAAGAAGGCAGGGAGGATGAGTCCTCTCTGTTGGAATAAGACTAAATTAAAACCCTGTTACCTAGACTCGAACACAGAGCAGACCCTGCGAGCTCAGAGGCTGAAGCTGACCTCATCAGCAGAAGCCGACTGTTATTCCCCAGTCCGGCCTTCAGGTTGTGAAATTCCCACTGTCTTGCCTGTCTGCTTGTGGTCGGAGGATAGCCCAGCCTCTTCCAAGGCGGCTTCCTTCGCATGCCCATTCGATAAGGCAAGAGGAAGAATTCAGTGGGAAGAGGGTCAGCGTGGTGGGAGAAATTTGAGACTTGGCCAATTGCCTGCTTCCCTCTCTGGTTGCTGAGGGCTCCCCCCTCTCCGCTGTTCTCCTTGCCCAGAAATCCAAGCCCCTGCTGTGTCCGTCCCTCTCCGCCTTGGTTGTCTACTTGAAGAACGTCCCGTTCCACAGTTTCACCCATTCGAGGGAGCACTACCGCTTCTATGAGATCTCATCCTTCTCTGAGACCAAGGCCAAGAACCTCGTCAAGGAGGCTGGTCAGGACCAAAAGCTACGGGGTGGGGAAGAAACTGGAATGGGGTCAGCAAGTGAATCCAAAGGAAGAAGACAAAGCACGAAGGGAGAGGAGGGAATTAAGAAGCTCACCAGAGCAGCCAGGGGGTGGGGGGAGTGTCTCTGGGCTCTAGGGGAAGCAACCCTGATGGCTGGTGCAGGAGATGGTAGGAGGGGAGAGAAGTGGGCGGGCAGGACCCTGGGGAGTTCGCCTCGCTTCCACCTCCATCCCTCCTTCCCTCCCTGCACTGCGTTCACAGGCAATGAGTTTGTGCAGCACAACACCTGGCAGCTAAGTCGAGTGTATCCCAGCGGCATGAGGACCGATTCTTCCAACTACAACCCGCAGGAACTCTGGAATGCAGGCTGCCAGATGGGTGAGGGGGAGGCTGCCAGCAGGGGTGGGGAGGAGGCAACAAGAGCAGCAGCGGGTGGGACATGAGCCCCCTGGTGACAGTAAGCCCACCCACTGCAGTAGAGTCAAATCCAACCCAGAGTGACCCCATCGAACAGAGCAGAACTCTCTCAAGGGGTTCCGAGACTATACATCTTTACAGAGAAGGCAGCCTCATCTGTCTTTGAGGAGCAGCTGGTGGGTTTGAACTCTTGAACTGGCGGTTAGCAACCCAACACATAACCCGCTCGCTGCACAAGGTTCCTTCTGGAGGCAGCAAGACCAGGGACTCCATCCTCAGGAAGGGTGCTGGGCTGGGAAAGATGGAGGGGTTCCCGGCAGGTACTCTTCCAGCCAACACCTGTGCCCTTTGTTTCTGGAAGGGGGTGCTGGGAGACTACCAAGGTGGTAGCCTTCCTCCTTTCTCCCCTTAGTGGCTATGAATATGCAGACTGCGGGCCTCGAGATGGACATCTGTGATGGGCTCTTCCGCCAGAATGGTGGCTGTGGCTATGTGCTGAAACCAGACTTCCTGTGTGACACCCAGACTTCCTTCCATCCTGAGAGGCCCATCAGTCTTTTCAAGGCCCAGACGCTCTTGGTCCAGGTTGGATGGGAAGAGAAACTTGGAGGGCAGTGGGGGAAGAGGTGGCTAGGTCTGGCAGGGTGGACAGTTTTTCATGAGAGGGAGGATAGCATGAACTTCAGAACCAGGCCACCCTAGGTCCAAACCTACTGCCTAGTCATGTAATGTTGGGCAGCTTCCTCAGCCTCTCCTGACCTCAGTCTCCTGCCCTGCAAACTGAGGGTAACACAGCTCCCATGCTGTGGCGAGAATGAGGACCAAGGATGTACAAGTTGTACATCAAGTATGTACAACAGTGCCTACGACCCAGAAAATGCTCTCCAAGGCTTGTCAGTATTACATTTTAAACTTGCAAACCTCGTTAACCTGCTACTTGGATCTATTTCTAACTGCATTTTAAATTGCAGATAGAGTACTAAAAGAAACTGTATTAGCTTCAGAGGCAACCCCCAAGTTATAATAGCACAAGGTTCCCTTCTTCCCCACCGGGGGTGCGAGAACTGGAGCAGGGGCTGGGCTGAGCAGAGCAGGAACCACAGTGAGGCTCCAGGATCTGGTTGCAGGTGATCAGTGGCCAGCAACTCCCCAAAGTAGGCAACGTCAAAGAAGGGTCCATCGTGGACCCGCTGGTGAAAGTGGAGATCTTTGGCATCCGCCCTGACACAACCCGACAGGAAACCAGCTATGTGGAGAACAACGGTGAGAGGCTGGGTGGTGTGGGTGTGTGCATGGGTGACACGTGGGGAGAAAGGGGGGACATTGGGAGGATGTGAGGAACATGGCCAGTTTTCCTTCCAGCCTGCCCATTAATAGAGATGTTACCACCCTTGCCATGGGAGGCAGTGTAGACAGAATGAGGGCGTGACCATCTCATTTACAAGCTGTGGCGATTGCTGCCGTCAGGTGTCATTGAGTCGGTTCCGACTCCTAGTGACCCTGTGAAGAGCAGAGGGAAACATGGCCCAGTCCCGCGCCTGCCATCCTCACAATCGGCCCATCGTTCCGCCACTGTGTCCGTCCACCTCGCGGAGGGCCTTCCTCTTTGTCACTGTCCCTCCACTTTACCAAGCATGATGTCCTTCCCCAGGGACTGCTCTCTCCTGACACGTCTAAAGCAAGTGAGATCAAGTCTCACTGTCCATGCCTCTAAAGAGACATTCTGACTATATTTTTTCCAGACAGACTTGTTTGTTCTTTGGGCAGGCCATGGTACTTTTGGCAGTCCATGGTACTTAATATCTTTTTGCCACACTCTAATTCAGATGCATCGATTTGTTTCCAGTCTTCTTTATCCAATGGCTAACTTAAAAAAAAAGTATTACTTTTATTGGACCTCTTACGTCTCTTATCACAATCCACACATTCATCCCTTGTGTGAAGCACACTTACGCATATGCTGCCATCATTTTCAAAGCATTCTCTTCCACTGGAGCTCCCATTTCTTCCCCCTCCCTCCCCTGCCCTCCCTCCCTTACGAACCCTTGATAAGTTATAGATTATTTTCATAGCTTACATTGTCCTCCGTCACCCCTCACCCACTTTTCCATTATTTGTCCCACTGGGAGGGGGTTCTAGATTGATCCTTGTGATCGATTCTCCCTTTCTCCCCCACCCTCCCTTAATCCTTCTGGTATCTCTACTCTCATTGTTGACTCTGAAGGGTTTATCTATCCTTGATTCCCTATGGTGCAGGCTCTTATCTGTAGCAGTGTGCATTCTCTGGATTTGTAGGGTAGGATTGAGGTCATGATAGTGGGGGGAAGGAAGCACCAAAGAACTAGAGGAAAGTTATGTGCTTCATTGATGCTCTACTGCACTGACTGGCTCATCTCTTCTTCCCTGTGACCCCTCTGTGAGGTGATGCCCAACTGTCTGCAGATGGGCTTTCGGTCTCCACTCCATGCCACTCCTCCTCCAATTCACATTGGGTATGATTTTGTTCTGGGTCTAGATGCTTGAGACCTGATCCCATCAACACCTCCTGATCATACAGGCTGGTGTGCTTCTTCCATGTGGGTTTTGTTGCTTCTCAGCTAGATGGCTGCTTGTTTATCTTCAAGACTTTAAGACCCCAGACGCATTATCTTTTGATAGCCGGGCACCATCAGCTTTCTTCACCACCTTTGCTTATGCACCCATTTTGTCTTCAGTGATTGTGTTGGGAAGGTGAATGCCGGATTATTAGAACAAAGTGTTCTAGTGTTGAGGGATTACTTGAGTAGAGGCCCAATGTCCATCTGCAACCTTAATTCTTAACATATAGATATGAGCATAGTTCTAATGTCCAACGTTCACATGCATTATGAGGCCACTAAAAAAACATTCCATGGCATGAGCCAAGCACACCTTAGTCCTCAGAGTAATCTCCTTGCTTTTCAACACTTTAAAGAGGTCTTGTGCAGCAGACTTTTCCAATACAACGCATCATTTGATTTCGGCTGCTGCTTCCATGAGCATTCACTGACTGTGGATCCTAGCAGGAGGCAATCGTTGACAACTTTAGTCTTTCTTCTCTTTGTCATGATGTCATATTGGCTCAGTTGTGAGGATTTGTCTTCTTTACCTACACTTCAGGCACCTGGGCAAATAGCCTGACCACTCGGAACCTGTATCCTCTCAAGATAAAGAGAACCAGGGAAAGTAACTTGTATGGGGCCAAGCCTCAAGAAGAAAGCAAATACTGTCTCATCCTTCTCTCTTCTACCCACCATCTCAGGTTTCAATCCATACTGGGGGCAGACGCTATGCTTCCGGGTCCTGGTGCCTGAACTTGCCCTGCTACGCTTTGTGGTAGAGGATTACGACTGGAAATCCCGGAATGACTTTGTTGGGCAGTATACCCTGCCTTGGACCTGCATGCAGCAAGGTGAGCCAGCTCTGGCTGGGGTCCCTGGCCACCAACCCAAGGCTAGCCACCTTGCAAATGCTGTTCTCCTGTCCCTCTGCAGGTTACCGCCACATACACTTGCTCTCCAGGGATGGCACCAGCCTGCACCCGGCTTCCATCTTTGTGCACATCTGCATCCGGGAAGGGGTAGAGGAGGAAGAAGCCTGAGGGTGCACTTCCAGTACAAGGTAAGCCACTGGCTGCCGACGGCGAGGGGCATGGGGACAGCTGCTCTAGGGGGAAGTGGGATTGGGGAGGGGGCGAAAGACCATGCTTTGGGTGCACATCATTCCTAGTCTCAACCCCCTCCCCCAGGCAAACAGAGGGCGGGCCAGGTTTTACACCTTATTTCCCCCCATCCTTTTCACAGCCTATGACACCATTCCCACCGTCTCGGTACTCAGTGCTGGAGTTCCAATCCTCGAGCAGATCTCGGACTCGTCCTTCCCAGGAACCCTGGCCCCAAGCAGAGTGCCACTAGAAAGCCAGAGGCAGAGGAGCCCAGAGCTAATATCCCCTTCACTTCTAACCTCCTCAAGGTCCAGAGCCTGGGGACAGAGGAACCAAGCCTCAAGCCTGCCCATGCAAAGGCTGAGGAAGAAGACTGCAGCCTGATGCTCAGGACACCCCACAGCCCCTGAGCCCCATGGGATGGCTCGGCCCCAGCCCAGCCTATATAAACAGAGCTTCTCTCCCCAGTTTGGTGTGGGCATGGTCTTATTGGTGGACACAAAAGGGAGGTTCAGTGTTGTGGGGCATCTGGGTAGACAGGTGAGGCCAGGGAAGGTACAAAACAAGAGGTTCCCAGAGCCCCTTGCCCCAGACGCCTGCATGTGTTACCTAGGATGGGCACAGAAGGCTTCTAAAACAGAAGACCAAGGGTTCTGCGGTCAGCCCTCCCGCAATTTGCCAGGAGAATCCCGGGCTATGACTGCTGTCCCAGCCTAATATAAATAGTGCCTTCTTTAATTTTCCCAAGTGTCTCTGCATAGAAGGAGCCCAGGTGACACAGTGGCCAAGAGCTCAGCTAGAAACCAAAACAGTGGCAGTTCAAACCTACCAGCTGCTCCACGGAAGAAAGATGTGGCAGCCTTACTTCCGTAAAGATGACAGCCATGGAAACCCTATGGGGCGGTCTGTGCTGCCCCATAGGCTCACTTGAGTTGGCAGTGAAGTCAGAACGGGTCCTAGAATCCATCACTAATTACACAGGCCTTGGGAATAATGTATAGCACTCCAGCTCCTAACTTCCAGTGCTGCTGCTAGGATTGATGGGGAATGAAGCCGTGGCCTGGGGGATGCTTAGTGATGGCAGTCCTCCCTGAACAGGTAGACAGAGGGCTCTGAAGGAGAGCGAGGGGGCAGGGGCCACAACAGGCCCAAAGGCAGAGAGAAGGCAGGCCTTTCTGGGCCTCCTTTAGAACCCACCAGCAGGTGAAGATGGAAGGCGACCCAGGGGAGGCAGAAGCCTGAGAGGTGGCAGGGCAGACGACAGCCTGGAAACGTTACGAGAGAAAGTGGGAGGCATCTGGACGACTGTCCCTCCGTTTGACATGCTTTATCAAGCATTCGGCACCACAGCACATGCAAGTAGACACAACTGCTCTGAGGATGCTGCCCAGGGGTGGAAAGCAGTGTTGGAAGAAGGAAGGAGCAGAATGGAGTGGGTAACACCACGCTCCAGCAGTCAGAGCCTTCCATGGCGTGCTGGTGAGGAAACAGGAACTCAGAAGTTAAAAACACGCAGCACTGCTGCAAGAATCCAGGTTGTAGTCCATGTCTCTTATACAGCCATCGTCCCAAAGTACAAGAGCCTGGGCCCCTTGTGGGCTCCATCCTCCCCTGTACCCCAAAGCCAGCCTGGCCTTAGGCCCTGGGCTCCACAGGCCTGCTCTGGGTCCAGTGTGCATGCCTGGGCCCACGCCCTCCTTTCCTGCCTGGGAGGTGGGCAGGCACTCAGCCCTCAGGGCCAGTGGGTGGGGCTGCAGGTGCGGGCGGGCCTGGGTCCTCCAGTTGCACGTCATGCAGGTGCACGGTGGGGGTAGTGGGGTCTTTACCCACACCCTGGCTGGGGTCGCCCTGGTCAGGATGGTGCCTGCGCACATGCTTCACCACTTGGAACTTCTGCTTGGCTTTGTAGCTGCAGAGGCGGCAGAAGAAGGGGTGGCGGTCGGTGTGGGTGAGGGCATGGTGGCGCAGGCCGGCGGCCCAGCGGAAGGCGCGGTGGCACACGTTGCACACGTAGGGCTTGGCCTCGCTGTGCTTGCGGAGGTGAGTGCGCAGCAGAAAGCGTGTCTTAAAAGCCTTGCCGCACTGCTCACACATGAAGGCCCGCGCCTCGCGGTGCCGTGTCTCCCGGTGCACACGCAGTGCGTCAGCCCGGTTCGTGCAGTACTCACACTCGGGGCACTGATAGGGCTTCAGACCTGAGGGCAGGGCAGAGACAGGGGTCAGTGGTGGAGGGAGCCCCATGCCACCATGGACGGGGAGTGAGCATGGTGCAGAGGCCCACCTGCCCACCATGATCCCGACACAGGGCAACACAGACGACCAGCTAATGGCCGAAATCTGGAATGCTCCAGATATGTTGGACAAGTCTTTGCTCTGCCCCCAACACACACTCACACATGCACCTAAAAACCAAAACTCACAGCCATTGAGTGGATTCCCCCACTCACGGCAGCTCTATAGGACAGGGTAGAACTGCCCCTGTGGGTTTCCAAGGCTGCAACTCTTTGCAAGAGTAGAAAGCCTCATCTTTCTCTTGAGGAGCAGCTGGTGGTTTCGAACTATTGACCTTGTGGTCAGCAGCCCAACACAGAACCACCATGCCACCAGGCTTCCTAGACCCCCAACACAGCACCTTTCATGCAGTGGGTGTTTGGAGGATGTGGGATGACTAACTGGACTGCTGTAAGCAAGGACCATTCACTATGCCAGGCTCTCGAAGGGGAAATGCCAACCCCCTCTTGGTCCCAGGACACTGAAGGGATTTGGGGACCTGCTGAAAAACAAGTCTTGTTCAAGTCGAGAAGTAAAAGGAAATGCTTAAGAGAGAAGGGGTGGGGGCGAGAAAAGTGGCCTTGCCAGAGACAGAAGGCTGTGAAAGGTACCGGGTCCCTTCCTCCACGGATGAGGGTCCCAATCACATGTCCATCCCACCAGGCACCTTCCCTGGGGCCACAGTGCATTGGGCCCTAACTTGAAGACCAGGAGACAGGAGAAGGTCCCGTTTCTCCTCCTTGCTCCTGAAAGCTCCAGCAAGTCCATGTGGGAACCACGAATCCTGCCCTCCAGCACTCATGTTCAAGGAGGGGTCCCCACCGGGGAAATCAACACTGGCACCAGACAGAGGCAGGGCACATGCCACCCCCTGGGGCTGTGGACCCCACGCACTCACCCGTGTGCTTCGTCATGTGGTACTTGAGCTGATTGACCCACTTGCACTTGTAGCCGCAGTCGGGGCACAAGTACTTGCGCTCCTCCTTGTGGATCCGCATGTGATACTGGAGGAGGGAGAGGCACAGGGGACATCCTGAAGGCGTGCCCCGCCTCCCTGAGCACCTGCTCCCCTGGCCCACGTGTTCTCCCATCACAGGTCTTCTCACCTGGCCATGTGACACCACCCGGACTTGTGTGCCCTCCTTCTGGATCTGCCCCGACCTATGTCACTTATTAACAGTGGCATCTGTACCGTGTGGCATTGTAGACATCTGTCTCTCGAGTTTGTATTGGGATTAACCACAGAGCCTGGCATCCAGCAAGTGCTCAATGGTAGCTGGGATTATTATCCAGGTAACACCTAACCTACTGCTCCATGCCTTTATCACATGCCAAGTCCCCAAGATGGAACCTCCGACATTGTCACAGCCCTCGACCCCTGGTCAGTCCTAGCACTGTTGACACTTGAGGGATCAGTGGGTTGGAGGAGCTAGGGAACTCACCCGGGGCCACAGAGCTCATGTTTGGCGGAGCCAGGCCCCAGGGTCAGCCCTCCTCACTGGCCCTGCTCGCCAGGCCTTGGGTCTTACCTTGAGGCGAGAGGGGTCGGCACAGGCATAGGGACAGAGGTGGCAGCGGTAGGGCTTCTCCCCGGTGTGGACACGGCTGTGCCAGGTGATCTTCTGCCGGTTCTTGGTGCTGTACGCACAGTCCGTACACTTGTAGAGCCGGGTGCCCCCATGCCCCTTGACGTGGTGATCAAGGACCAGCTGGTGGCGGCAGGCAAAGTCGCAGAAAGGACAGCGCAGAGGGCGCTGGCTGGCGTCCCCGTCCGGCGCCGCTTCGTGCTGCTCCAGGTAGTGAGACACCAGGCCCACCTGCTCGCGGGCCGCGAAGTCACAGAGCTGGCAGCGGTGGCTGAAGTGCCGCTGCCTCCGGTGCTGGTCCAGGGCGGGCCGGCTGGGGAAGGCCTCCCGACAGGCGGCGCACTCGAGCCTGGGGTGCTGCCGGCGGGTGTGTCCCCGCAGGCTGGCGGGACTGGGACACAGCAGCCCGCAGCGGGCGCAGCGGAGGGGGTCTTGGGCTGCCTCTGCAGGGGCGCCTGGGGCAGGGGCAGGGGGCTCCGGGTGCCGGCGCAGGACATGCTGCTTGAGCGCCGTTTCGGAGCTGAACTGGGCCTCGCATTGCGGGCAGGCGAAGGCTGGGGTGCCCTGGTGGCAGCTGTTGACGTGCCGCGTGATGTCGTGGCGGAGGTAGCCGCTGTAGTCACACAGCGGGCAGAAGTGGGTGGGGGTCTTGTCGTGCACCCTCAGTTGGTGCAGGCGCAGCTTCGAGTTGGTCCCGAACGTCTGGGGGCAGGAGCTGCAGGGGATGCGGCCCACTCCCGTGTGCCGGGACTGGTGGGCCTCCAGGCGGTAGCGTCGGGTGGTGGAGAAGTCGCAGAAGGGACACTGGTGTGGCTTCACCCCCTCATGCTTGAGGCGCCGGTGCTGCTGTAGGCAGCGGCTCTGCTTGCAGGTGAAGCTACAGTCCCCGCACTGCAGCGGGGGCCGGGGGCCGCGGGCGGGCCCAGCAGCCAGGGGCCTCCTCTTCTGGTGGCCCCGCAGGGTGGCGGCTGTGACCGGGCAGAGGCCGCAGTGTGACTCCCCAGGACTCTGGAGTGGGCAGCCCCGCGCCTGGTGAGTCCGCAGCGCGCGTGCCTGCTGGCAGCTGAAGGGGCAGGTGGGGCAGGAGAAGCGAGTGCCCTTTAGCCTTGGGACCACGGCTGTGTCCCCACCACCAGGGCTGGGCTCCGAGCTCCCACTGCCCTGGGGAGCAGAGTCCCCGCTGTACACCGGGCACAGGGCAGGCTTGGCTGCAGTGACCGCCCGCCTCCCTTCTCCGCGTCCCCCCCGGCAGCCTTCGGCCACGTGAGAGGTGATGGAGGAGAGTCTGGAGCACAGGAAGGCACAGGAACTGCAACGGAACTTGCCCTGCTCAAAGCGGAACTTCTCCGGGGGTGTTGCCGGCGGGGGGCTGGCTGCAGGTGGGGCGGGGGAGCCGGAGGGGGTACCAGGAGGCTCCTCGGTTTCACTGGGCTCATCAGGCAGCTCAGAAGGGGTGCTTTTGGGAGCCACTAGGTCCAGTGCTAAAGGCTCGGGCAGGGACTTGGTGTCCTCGGCAGCCTGGGGGCCTGAGGGTGGTAAGCTGGCTGGATCTGCCCTGGGCGCGCCCTTGTTCTTTCTGAGGACAGGACACTTCTTCAGCAGGTGGGTGCTGAGGCCCCGCTGCTGCTTAAAGCTGGCCCCACACTCGGGGCACCGCAGGGGCTCTCGGCGGCCTTGGCAGCCAGCCCTGGCATGCAGACTCAGGGCCTTCTCGCGGCGGCTGATGAAAGGGCAGTGCGGGCAGCGGAAGGCTGGGCCCTCTCCCTGGATGACCACCATCTGCACCCGCCCCTCCAGCACCAGGGCCTCAGCCTGCTCTTTGTCCTGCCTCCTCAGGGCCTTTAGAATGGACTCTGACTCAGGGAACTGAGGCAAGGGGGCAGTCTCGGCAGGTAGACTGGCCTTAAAGGGCCCCACCCAGCTGTTAGAGGGCTGCTCGGAGGGAGGGGGGTTCCGGGGAGGTTCAGGGACTGGCTTGTCCAGAATGGGCTCTTCTTGAGCACTCAGAACAGCAGGTTCGCTGCCTTCGAAGCTGGACAGCGCCATCAGAGTGCCAGCAGATGCTTCCAGTTCTAGGGGCCTGGAGGGGTCCATGGGCCTGCCCTCCACTGGGGCCGTCTCAGGGGTCTTTTCCTCCAGGGGCAGTTCGGCCAAGGGTTCCAGCTCCACCCGCAGGGCCTCCAGGTGCAGGGTGCAGGAGCTCTCATCCACCTCCGCCGGGCTAGGGCCACCAAGTAGCTCGCTCTCTTGGGGAACCTCACTGCAAGCCTGCTGCTCAGCTCTGTCCTCGCTCAGCTCAGACACAGCTTGGCCAGAGCTGGCCTCCACTGCAGTCTCAGGGACAGGGCCCAGCTCCTGGGGCTCAGCGTCTGCCGGGGGTGCAGGGCACTGCCTGGAGCCCTCTGGCTCCTGCTCCTGGCTAGCAGGGTGGAGCTGCCAGACCTGGTCCCCGGGCATGTAGCCGTGGGCCTTGCGCTTGTGGAAGAAGAGGGTGGTATTGCTAAAGGTGCGGTAGTCACAGAGGGCGCAGCAGAACTCGCGCAGGCGCGTGTGCTTGCAGTTCTCGTGGCTCAGCAGCGCCTGCTTGTGGCGGCTGCGGTAGCTACAGTAGCGGCAGGGGAAGAGCGGGGCCTGCCCGCCGGGTCGGTGCTGGGAGGCCATGTGCTTCTGCAGCTCATACTTCCGCTTGCAGGCGAAGGCGCACACCTCACACATCAGGGACTTGCCCTGGTGCCGCAGCTTGTGGCTGCTCAGCTGGTCAGCGCGGTGGCAGCGGTAGGAGCACTGGTTGCACTGGTATCTGCAAGAAGGGGGAGGCGGCGGCGGGTGGGAGCAGTCAGGGTGGGAAACCACTCACAAGAGCTCACAGCCAACAGCAGGCCTTACTCTGGGCCAGGCTCTGCCCATCTAGCTGAACCGCCACCCCCACTGAGCCGTCTACAGTGAGGAAGTACAACACAGAGTTAATACGTGGTCTAAGGTTACAAAGGAGGTAAGGGGCAGAGGCAGGATTTGAACGCTGGCAGTCTAGCCTCCCGGTCCGGCTTTTAATTGCCCCCCACTCCCACCCCAAGAAGGCTTTAGGGACAACCAACTTCTGTGGAGCTGACCTTACCAGTGAACCCCAGGGCAGTACAGGGTCTAGTCTCTGTTCTCTTAAGACAGTCTGACCGCCCTGGAGAGGCCCCTCGGCCTGGGTTTGGATTCCAAGAACCTGAGCGACACCTTAGTCTCCAGGTTTGAAAGCAATCACCGAGACCGGCTGTCACCACTGAGGGGCGCAGAGCCTGCGGGACGGGGAAGAACGGGGGCCGCGCTGGGGTGAGGGGGGCATACCTGAGGTCCCCCAGGTGTTTTCGCATGTGCACGCTGAGGTAGTGCTTCCACTTGGTGACGTAGCCACACTCTGTGCACATGTAGTCCTTGGCGCTGGAGTGGGTCAGCATGTGCTTAGACAGGTAGCTCACATCCCGGCACGTGAAGTCACACAGCTCACACTTGTGCGGTTTCTCGCCTTGGGGTAAGGGGAGAACATGGCTCATACGTGGAGGCCCCGCCTGGCCCCAGCAAGCCTGCCCTGGTGCCCAGTGTGAGCAGGGGTGTCACGTGCTCCCAGGGGGCCAAAAGCATCACAGTTTTCAAGGCTGCTTCTCCCCCCCACCCCCACTACACACACACACTCTCTCTCTGCTGGACCACTGCTTGCCTGACTGCCACCACAAGGAGCTTGGGCCGGAAGGAAAGCTGAGCTTCCCCAAACCAGCTTCAAGGCCTCATTTGATTTGTTATCCGACCAGGTGTTCCTTCTGAGCCCCTCCATGTTGTCACTGCCCGCCCGCCTGCACATCCAGCCCCATTCTCGGGCTAGCAACATGTGTTCGGGCTCTGTGAGGGTGTATGTGGTCTGGGAGCAGGTCATTTGAGCTTTGCTCAGCTGGTTTTTTCACCGCCACTGGCCTCCCCCACGATGGTGATCCCAAGGACTCAGCAGGGTAGGAGGAAGACTCCCCCCCAGAGACTGGACGCTTGCCCCGGGTGCCCAGCAGAAGGAAGGTCCAGAAGTAAACTCACCCTGAGCTGCCCCAGCCTGTAGGCTCTCTGATGTCATGCCAGTCCCATGGAGACCATACCTGGGCAGTGCTGTGACTGGTCATCAATCTGAGCTACAACCCGCAACTTTGAAAACACAGCCACCAGACAGGACCCCCTGGGGAACTCGACCATTCTCAGCCGGGATCTCACAGGATTGGAGGCTCCAATTTAAACCGAGTTTGTTTGTTTGGAGGGGATTTTGAGAGTAAACAATGAAGATAGGAGGATGGGAGGGGTGTGAGCATTAGAACTGAAAGTGATTACACACCCCATTTTAAAGATGATTTAATCATGGGGCGGGGGGAAGCAAATGTTCTGAAATTGATTGTGGTAAGGAGTGTATAGTTCTTGATGTGACTGAACTATTGAACTGTGTAATATGTGGATTAAGTGCCAATAAAACTGTTACAAGAGGAAAAACAAACAAACAAACAAAAAAATGAGTTTGGGCCAAAAAAATCCCCCCAAATCCTGCAACTTCCAAGTGATTGTAGGTGATCGTCTCTCACCACACACCCTGACCTTGCTTGTGGACAGAGGTCTCCAACTTGGTGTGGGCATGCCTACTCTAACAGCGGAGGGCGGAACTGGGCCAGGGCCTGAGCGTAGGCACAATGGTTGGGGGAGCGCTGGGGAATCAGACTGCTGGATTGCCGCCTCAGCTCGACCACTTGACCAGGGGAGCGACAGCTAATTTCAAGCTCATGTGTAAAACCGGAAGCCCAGGGTGATCTCCAGGGATGCTAGGGGAAGCTAGAAAGTGGTGGCCAAGGCCATGCTGTGCAGGTGGTGTGTCACACCCCGCCCCACACACCACACACACACACCCGCAGGCAGCCACCTCACCCGTGTGCAATAGCATGTGTCGGATGAGCACCCTCTTGTGGGCGGTGGCAAAGTTGCATTCGGGGCACTGGTGGATCTTCTCGTGTGCGTGCATCTTGCCCACGTGGTCCTGGTAGGCCACCGGGTTGAAGGTGGCGAAAGGGCAGAAGGGGCAGTGCAGCTCTTCGCTGCCAGGGTGGCCCTGCTTCTTGTGCTTGCGGAAGAGGTGCTTGTTGGAGCAGGCGAAGTCGCACTGGGGACAGTGGAAGGCATAGTGGCTCTTGTGGTGGGTCTCCATGGCCTCTGGCGTGGCGAAGAGCAAGGGGCACGAGTGGTGGCGGCACTCCACGGCCCGCACGCTGTGGGCCTCCTTCAGGTGCTTGACAAAGGCCTTGCGGTCAGGTGCCGAGTAGCCGCAGCCCTCCTGGAAGCAGCTGAGGGGTGCTGGCTCGGCGGCGGCCGCATGGCTCTTGAGGTGCTCCTTGAGGGCCTGGCTGCGGTGGAACTCCTTGCGGCAGACAGGGCAGGCGTAGGTGTCCGAGTAGAAGTTGGAGATGTCCTCGTGCATGCTGGCCATGTGGCGGTTGAGCGCGTTCCTCTCCACGGCGCTGTAGTGGCACAGCGGGCAGCGGTGGGCCTTCTGGCCCCGCTCCCGCAGCAGGTGGGTCTTCAGCTTGCTCTTGCTGGTGAAGAACTTCTGGCAGTTGGGGCACTGGAGGCTGGGGTCTGGGAAGTGCAGGTGCAGGTGTTCCACCAGGTGGGTCCGCTTCTTGAAGCAGCGTTGGCACTCCGGGCACATGTGGGTCTTGAAGAGGGGCTCAGCGGCAGGAGCCACCTCACCTGGGGGCGGGAGCAAAGGACACCGGGCTGCGTGAGTGAGCATGTAGGATGCGGAGAGGGTTGTGAGGAAGCTCCTTTGATAGGTCAACATTCACTGCCACCAAGCCCCTGCTGCCAACTCTCCGCCCTCCAGACGAGGCCCACTCACGGCGATCCTATAGGACAGTGGAGAACTGCCCCTGTGGCTTTCAGAGACCCTCACTCTTGACGGGAGTAGAAAACCTCATCTTTCTCCGGAGAGGTGGCTGGGGGGTTCAAACTGTTGACCTTGTGGTTAGCAGCTCAAGGTACAACCCACTGCGCCACAGGGGTTTCCTCTATTCCACTCATCTCGACCCAAACAAGGGAGAGTAGACCTGCTCCCCAGACTGTTCACCTTTGTGGGAGCAGACAGCCTCATCTTCCTCTGGGGAGTGGCTGGGGGGGTTTGAACTGCTGGCCAAATAGTAAGAGGACCGTAATGTTGCCCGAGGCCGGCACAAACACGATGTCGCCTGTCTCCCTCCACAAAACCTAATCATAGGATCGTAAACAAGAACTGTGATGAGGAAGCCAAGTGTCCCAAGAAACAAAGCCAGCGGCCTTGCCAAGGCCTGTGTCACTTGTTTCCCCAGCCCTTCTGAGCCTCCTTACACCCACTCCCGAGGACAAGCCTGCTTCAATACTGTTCTTCCGGACCTTTGTTTCACGGGATCCACAGAAGGAGCAGCAGTGTTGTTTGGAAGAGAAACAGCCCAGCGGGGAGTGAGCAGAAGAGAAGAAGGGGAAGGAGTCTTAGGTCTCAACACCGGCTCACTGGGTCCCGGTAACGAGCTGGTAGGAAATACCATCAGATCTTTCCTAGTCACCAGACATGGACTATGCTCCCGGCGGGGTGGATGGGTTTCAAATGTTCTATGTTGGAAAACTGCGAAGCAAGGATTCAGAACCAATCTGCGCGGCTCCAGGCCAGGTCAGACAGGCTGCCCAATCAGCAAAGCCACTGGCCTCTTTACACCGCAGAGCCCCACTCTGGTGCCTTCCACCTTGAGAAACCAAGCCAGGCGGGCAAATGTTCCTTAGCCTGAGCCTGTGTTAGCATTTACCCAAGTGGCACTCTCCCACCGGATTCGTGAGGATGGAATGGAGGGAAACAAGCCATCCCAGCCAAAGCTCAGACAGCCCAGCCCCCAGAACTGCAATGCCAGGCTCCCACACCCATTCCTCCCCACACCAGTACGTACCTTCCACCTGCGGTGTCCCCTGGCCTCTTCCCAGGGCTGGCCGGGCGTCCTTCTGGGAGCCACACTCTTCTTCTCCTCCAGCGTCTTCCTCTTCAGCCGACTCCTGCCCAGGCGCAGGCACACCTGCTTCCTCTGAAGGTGCTCCCTCCCCCAGGGGCTGTTCGGCGACTGGAGACACAGAGAATCTGATGAGGGCAGGGCAGCTTCTTGCTCTTCCCTCCTCCCCGGTGGCACGAGGGGGCCAAGTGCAGAGATGTGTTCTCATTCCAGACCAGTCGAGGAAGACTGGGGCTCAGCTGTCAGCACTGCCCCCATCTGAAGGAAACCAAGCCTCAGGGAACAGCCACCTCTGACACCCGGGAAGTGAGATCCCTGCGCTCACCTCAGGGCCGAGGTAAGAAGGGGGTCAACAGCACTTGCCTGGCTCAGTGGAGGTAAACAGACCCCAGTGCCCAAACTACCCTCTGAGAAACCCAACTCAGCAATTCAGGGTCACCAGACCTTGCCCCGCTCCATCCTACTCTTTCTGTCCACCAGCAGGAGCAGCTGCCTCAGTAAGGAAATGCTGCGAGAGCCTCTGCTCCACAAAAGAGCAGCCTGCTCGCCAGCAGAGAGGAACGTTCTCCGTTAAATCACCCAAGCTGCTCTTGCCCTCTCCCTGAATCCCACTTGCTCTAAAAGGAAGTTTACAAGCGGTCTGCCAGGGGCTGGCATTGAACTTTCGTCCCTGGAAAGTTCTGGAAAGGATCAGAAGGAAAAAACTGGTTGACTAACTTCAAGACCATCGCGTAGCTGCGGCCAATGTTCACTCATTCCTCGAACTCTGTATATTTGGAACTCAACAGTGCCATCCAGCGATGCTGTCCCCTTGAGGCACTACTGTGGGTACCCTTGCATGCGGGCACCACTCTCCTATAAGGTGCATTCCAGGAAGGGAGCAGTGGGGCCCTTGGCCTCTTACTTGGCAGCAGCTCCTGGGTTGGCAGGCTTCGCAGGGTAGGAAGTTCTCCCCGTGTCCCTGACCCGTGGCTCCGCTGATGCTGCCGGAAGAGCTTGACATTGGAGCCCACGAAGCTGCAGTGGCTGCAGTGGAAGGGATAATGGACCTGCCGATGCAGCTCCATGCCCTGCTGGCTCCCAAAGAGCAAGGGGCAGCCCCGGAAGGAACAGGGCACAGGGACGGCGCTGTGAGCCTGCTTCAGGTGATGCTGCAGGCCTTGGCGAGCCTCGCAGGAGAACACACAGCCGGGCTCTGGGCAGGAGAAGGTGTCGGGGGTGCCTCGGTGCGACTTGAAGTGGCTCTTCAGGGCCTGGGGCTGAGCAAACTCCTGGCTGCACACGGGGCATGGCAAGGGGCTGTCTGTTGGGCTTCGGCCCTGTGGAGGGCCGAGGAGGGTGAGGTTACTGGGGGGCAGTGCTAGGGAGCATGGCGAGCTGGACAGACCCTGCACAGGCTGGATGAGGGTCTCGGGGCACTGATGCAGGGCCAGCAGAGTGGGGTCTGCAAAGCTCTGCCCACAGCGCTCACAGAAGTACACTTCCACCACCTTGACCAGGACACCTGCAAGCAAGGGCCAACAGAGACAGGTACATCAGACAGGATAAGCGATCCGTACAAGATGTGAAATCCTGATTATTCATGGAGTGGAGACAGGTTCGTTTTGCCACCAGGACTGGAAGTCCCATAAAGTCAGGGACAGTTCACCTGGCACCCATCTTAATAGTCCCAAGAGCTAGAGCAATTCCTGGCACAAAATAGGTGCTTAATAAATATTTCTTCTATGGGGGAACAAACATGAACCAAAGCCAGGTCACGTTAAGAAAAGGCCAGAGAATAATCTCTGCAACACAAGTGACAAAGCATCGCTCTCAATTCCAGCAATGACATTGAGGAGCCCCTGATAGCGGGACATCAGAGGCCATCCAGAGCCCATTTCCACAAGATGAACTGCCAAGAAATGAAAAAACACTGGGCCTAGCTATCAACGCAACACAAGCCAAACCAAGAAGACCCGTTTGCCTCTGTAGACTGGGGAGGAGATTGGTGCCAGTGTTGGCAAGGAAACAGAGAGTTGGGCACAAGCCTAGGCTACTGGTGGGTTGTAAACCGATGTGACTCTTCAGCAGGGCAATCTGTTGCAAGAATTGAAATGTGGAATTCCACTTTGAGGAATTTATCCTCTAGGAAAACTTGCACAAGCACCCGGTGGTTCGTTAGAGCAGAGAACTAAAAGGACCACTGAGTAAGTTGCATACAACCAAAGAGTGAGGACCTGGACCCAGGAGAAATGGAGAGTTCTATTATTATTTGGGGGGGGGGGCAGGATAAGACATATACACACACACACCTGTACATGCAAAGTGAAAATTAAAAAAAAACATGTTATTGTTTACAAAGCGGAACACAACAGTAGAATCTATATTAAAACCTATATGTCCTTATTAACAGAAGACAGACTGGAAGATGCACCAAATCATTCACACCGATTAATGATCCACGAGTAACAGGATTACTGATGGTTTGTTTCTCTTTTCTAACCTTTCTACATCGACTGCTTTTTAAATGATGAACGTGAATTCCATTTATTCTCGGAAAATATAGTAAAGCTGTAAAGACATTAAAACAGACCAAAGCAAAAGAGACAGACAGGGAGAGAGACCTGACTGCACCAGGAACTACCAGCAAGTGTGCGGGGGTGCTGAAAAGGAGGATCTTTCAAAAAGCATTTACTGCGAGGGCCCGAGTCTAAAGCCTGGCTACAGGAGGCATGCCATGGAGAAGCACACCACGACTTGCCCGGGCATCTCAGCGGGGGCCCCAAGCAGGCCTGTCTCCAGCTCTGGACTACAGAGAGAATGCAACCAGCAAGGGGCCTCGAGGGAGACTTACAGAAGGAGCAGAAAGCCTGAAGGAGGCAGCACTAAGCACTAAGAGCTATTATTAACCGAGCATCCGGGGCATGCCAGATGATATAAGATCAAGTGATAAAACCACACCGCATCAAGTCTGTTCTAACTCATGATGACCATCTAGGACAAAGTAGAGCTGCACCTGCGGGCTTCCAAGGCTGCAACTCTTTACAGGAGTAGAAAAGTTTCATCTTCCTCTCCTTGGAGCAGCTCGTGGTTTTCCAAAAACACCCAAACCAATCTCGATGCCACTGAGTCGATGCCAATTCACAGGGGCCCTACAGAACAGGGTAGAACTGCCCCTGTGAGATTCTGAGACCATAAGTCTTTACAGGCATAGAAAGCCCTGTCTTTCTCCTAAGATCAAGTCAGAGAAGGGCAATTCAGGAGTGAGTCAGATTAGGAAGGAAACAACTCAAGGAGTTTCTTGAGCAACATGCAAGACCGCGGCAAAGGCCAGGGAAATATCCTCATACGGTCTGTCCTCCAACAGCCTGATGAGACCGAGGGACCTGGGATTCTGGCAGAAAAAGACCATCATGCTTGCTAGTGGTGGAGCTGGGGTTCAACGCTCAGCCTGCTTTTCTTATTTCCCTTTTATTTGTTCTGCTCTTCTTTTGCTGGTCATTTTCCTCTTTGTTGTCATTTGTTGTTAAGACAACACGAAATTATTGCAGCAAACTCAAATGATACAGAAGCAGAGAAAGCAAGAGCAGGGCCCGCCTCTCCCCATCACACAATTTGGTCTGCCGCCTTCTGTGCAAATGCCTGCTCCACACATATATGAACATAGAATTTTTGTTCACACACACACACACACACACACACACACACACACACACACATAAATGGGGGAGGGGCAAAGTGAAATCTTCTTGCCCTTGGTCTGCTGGTAGCTCCCCTTCCTCACTTGCTCTGTATTAAAGAAAATGTTTACATGTAAGCATATTTAGATCTTGATAATCTTTGTTGTTGTTGGAGGGGGGTGTCCAGCTTATGGTCATTTCAGAGCATAGATAAATCATGACAACATTTCCCGTAGTCATGAACACCTGGGTTGTTCCCAGTCATTGCGAACAAGCTGCTATACTCACCCATGTCCTTGGACAGGTGGGCGAGCCTCTCCATAGGCCTGATTGAAAGATGTCTGATGACCAGGGGAAAGGACCTGTCTATGTTTCTAACTCATAGCGACACTACAGGACATGGCCTTCGGGTTCCCAAGACCGTGTGGTAATTAGCTAATTGGCCTTCCAAAGATTATATTAAACTACACTTTCCATCAGCATTATAAGATTGGGTCTGTTTCTCCCCATTCTCACCACCATATTTTAAAAATACATTTCCTTTTTCTCAAAGTTGATATGCAAAACAGGCATCTCCTAGTTTTCTTAATGATCATGTATTGGTGTGCTGAAATGAAGCAACTTTTCAGAGGGTCACTGACCATTCAACATAAAGAACTGCGTGCAGGAGGAAAAAAAGGGGAAAGGCAGAATGGATTAAAAAGTAGGTGTGTGTGTGTGTGTGTGAACAGGACAAGGCATTGGGAGGTTTGATACGTTGTATAAGTTGTTGAATGCCAAAATGATGATCTTAGATGTTACTTTCCTTCCCCCACCTAATTCACAAAAAGTTTGAAGGGAAAAAAAAATTGCATGCAGATGTGCCCCCAGCCCCTGCCCTACCTTTTTAATTTATATTTTTCCCACTTGCCTTTTAAAATTCTTTTCCTTACTGTACAACCTTCCATCTCAAGAACATGAACTGTTTCTTATGTGTTGTAAACATTTGCTTCGGGCTCTTGATTTATATTTTTTAGGATTTCGTTCACCACACACAGGAATTTGGCTAAGTTGTCTCAGAATTCTTTGCTATTACAGAATACCACAGAGAGCGGTGGCAAAGAGCTGGGAGATGGCAGGTATAAACAAAAACCCAAACACCAAGTAGTTCCCTAAGAAGTAAGAGGCTACAGAAGGGTCACAAGGAAGAGACTAGCCAGTCAGGGTGCAGTATAGGAATAATGAAACATACAACTTTCCTTTAGTTCTTTAATGCTCTCCCCCACCCCCTAATCACGACCCCAATTCTACCTTAGAAATCTGGCTAGACCAGAACATGTACCTGGTATGACACAGAGAATCCAGGACAGATAAACCCCTCAGGACCAGTAATGAGAGTAACAATTCCAGGAGGGGAAGGGAAAGGAGGTAGGGGGAAAAAGGGGGAACCGATTACAATGATCTACATATAACCCCCTCCCAGGGGGATGACAACAGAAAAGTGGATGAAGGGAGACAGCGGTCAGTGTAAGACATGAAAAAATAATATTTTATCAATTTTCAAGGGTTCATGGGGGAGGAAAGGTAGAGGAGGGGGGAAATGAGCTGATACCAAGGGTTCAAGTAGAAAGAAAATGTTTTGAAAATGATGATATATGTACATATGTACCAATATATATGCAACATATGTACAAATGTGCTTGACACAATGGATATATGTATGGATTGTGATAAGAGCTGTAAGAGCCCTCAATAAAGTGATTTTTAAAAATAAATAAATAAAAACTTATTATTGAAAAAAAGAAGAAGTAAGAGGCTGTCGCCCTGGGAAGAATAAAGAGATGGTGCTTTCTCTTACAATGAACAGAAATGCTCACGTGCCAGGCTGTACAGCATGCTCAGGTGAGCTCAGCATGCTTTGTACAAGGAATCAGGGCAGGGACCTATGTATCAGGTCACCTCTAGGATACCCTGCCAAGCACGGGTGATCACAGAGCCCAGGCCTTCTGCTTCATCTCTGGCTGTAGTTCCTGGGTGGGAGGGTGAAGATGGGAGAAAGGGTCCCAAGGGACTGGAAGAATAAGCAGCAGCTAGGATTGGCTGGAGAGATCGGAAAGGTCATTTCCCCTCTGGCCTACCGCCTAGCAGAGGGGAGGCCCTGAACAGACTCTGCCAGGAGCATGGGACAAGGTTGAGCATCACCTTGCCAGCCTTCCGTCATCATTCACCAACTGCACCCCCGGTGACCACATCACAGAGTATAAAAATAGGCTGCTGCCCTGTGCGCTCATGTTTATACAGAAAAGATCAAAAGTAACGTAGGCCAAGCCTTGGAGCTACTTGACCCCCTGACCTCCAGCAATGGGATTGGTACCTGGAGTGTCTCCAGGAGTCCCTGGGGACAAGTTTCCAGTTACTGCTTCCACAATGATCTCCATGTCTCCTGTGCCCTCTCCAGACGTTGTGGCCTCTACCAGCAAGCAGGCAGGGTCCGTAGGCAGAGGGGTAGGGCTCTCCGAGGGGCAGGCGCTCTGCCCAGGCTCCAGGAGGCCACGGTGAGAAAGAGGCTGGGGGATCAGCAACAGTTCAGAGCAGAGTCCAGCCATCTCCCCAGGGCTGTTCGCTGGCTGTGAGTCCAACACGGGGTCTGTCATCACCACGGCTTTCAGGGCTGTGCTTTCTCAGGTGCTGAGAAGCCAAGCTGAAGGAAAACAAAAGCAAATCAGTTAGCAGTCTTTCTTTTCTTTTTTAAAAATCATTTTATTAGGGGCTCATACAACTCTTATCACAATCCATACATACATCCATTGTGTGAAGCACATTTGTGCATTCATTGCCCTCATCATTCTCAAAACATTTGCTCTCCACTTAGGCCCCTGGCATCAGCTCCTCATTTTTCCCCCTCCCTCCCCAGTCCACCCTCCCTCATGAACGCTTGACAATTTATAAATTATTATCTTGTCATGTCTTGCACTGTCCGACGTCTGCCCCCACCCACCCTTCTGCTGTCCATCCCTACAACCTGGTTCCCCCTTTCCACCCCAGCAGTCTCACTTTCTGACAATCGGCGTGCGCACACAGCCCAGTGCCTGTTGTCTCAGGCAACTGTTCACCCGAGGAGTGTTGCCTCTCGTGACTACGTAGAGAAGTGAAGAGACGACAACCATGGTGTCAGCAGAGAGCCAACATATCCCGCCCAAGATACTAGAGAGAACGGGTTGTATTTCTTGTTCTGCTCCAGTTTAGCTAAGTAACCTGGAGTAAAGGATGGCGCAATATGGGTCTCAGTTCTCTCATCTGCAACAACACTGGCCAGAGGATCCCCGAAATCCCTTTCCCTCTCACAGCTCTGTCTCATAGCTCTACGGCCCTGGATGACCCGATTCCGCTGACCTGTCCAGACTCATCGTCCACCTCTGCCCTCAACAGATGTCTACATCAGGCATCCCAAACAATTTGTCATTCCTTCCAAAAAAACAAAAAAAACAAACAAAATAAAACTCCTGGCCATTGAATCAATTCTGACTCAGAGCCACCCTCTAGGAGAGACTAGAAGTGGCCCCTCGGGTTTCTGAGACTGTAGATCTTTTCTGGAGTAGAAAGCCTCATCTTTCTCCCAAGGAGCCCCTGGTGATATAGAACTGCTGACCTTGGAGCTAGCAGCCCAATGTGTAACCCATTATGCCACCAGGGCTCTGTCATTCCTTAGACTCGCAAAATCTTCCATACTCTGCCACATGCCCCTCTCATGGCCAGATGTTCACTTCTACCTTCTTCTGCTCTTGCCTGCCCTGCCAACTCCTAAGCATCCTTTAAGGAGTTGTACAACAGGGGTCCTTACATCTTCTGACACTGACACCCCAAAAATCTGATTCACCACTACTGAGTCAATTCTGAGTCATAGTGATGGTGAAATGCGGGTTTTTAAGACTGTAAATCTTGACAGGAGTAGAAAGTATCACCTTTCTCCCATGGAGCAGCTAGTAGTTTAGAACACCTGAGCTTGCAGTTAGAATTCACCACATAACCCACTATGCCAACATATCTTAATCCACCCCAAACTCACTGCCATCGAGTTGCTTCTGAGTCTCAAAGTGACCCTACAGGATGGGTAGAATGGTCCATGCGGGTTTCCGAGACTCTTTACATAAGTAGAAAGTTTCCTCTTTCTGCCCATATCCAGATAGACAGGCTAAAGTGACTTTAGACGGAATTCTTTGTAACTAGAGAGACAGTAATCCCTTTATGAACTTGGAACCCCGAAGGTCAGTCAGGACCTAGGGCTAGGGAGAAAGCACAGTCCAAGTGAGAAGCAGCATGCCTGAAGAAGAAACCTAGAGGCTGCAAGCTGACATTCCTGGTTTCCTAGAATCCAGTGCCCTGCAGCTGGAGGTCATCTCGGCTCACTGGTTTCCATTCATTATCTCTGTAGGGGTGGGGAGTGGGGGAGAGTTTGGTTTGGTGAGGAAAGCTTCCGATTTGGTCTCAGAGGGGAGCCAAAGAGGATGTGATAGAGCACCTTCATCGGCTAGGGGATGAGGAGAGGAGAGGAGAGGAGAGGAGTGAGACAGGTGGACAGAGAACAGATAAGATTATCATCATGTAGGGGCAATGAGAAAGAGAAAGAAAGGACAATAACGCCTGGGGGGGAAAAGACACTCCCCCCTCCCCCAGGACTCCTCTTCCAGCCTGGGGTTGAAGGCACCTGGGTTCCCACCTGCCACCAGGCTCTGACTTACCACGCAGTTTGGGGCACCTAGGATAACCTTTCGTCCCTGGGTCTCAGTTTTCCCATCTGTGAAGTGGAAACGATGACAGCGTCCACATTCTCGGGAGGGCGCGGGAGTCACCAGAGTCGACGAATGGGAAAGGCGCTTTGCAACCTGCAAGGCTTGGGATGGAGCATCATCGCGATTACGGTCTTGAGGGGACAGCGGGTACCCGGGAGCGGTCCATAGCTGTGACACGACTAAGGCGAGGGGCAACCGCTCCTTGGCGTGGTCCCTTTAGCACCTCCTCCCGGGGTTCCCCGCACCCAGACCTTCTCCTCATCCTCGCCCTCCAAAAACGTTTGCCTCGGATGGGCAAGATCCACCTGCACCAGCTTGCAGTTCCCACCCCGCAGGCGTTTACTCACCTCCCGGCCCAGGGCCGGCAGGAGCCGCATCTCTATGGTCGAACAGCGGCTGGAGAGGCCCGCCGGGGCTCTTTGTGCGACCGCCTCCGGCCCAGCCGCCTCTAGGACAGCGGGCGCAAGCTGGCCACTCTCTCTTCCCACCCGCTGGCGAGGTACTCTATGGTCTTTTACCATCGTTTCCCTTCTCCGCAAGGCCCCCCACCTCCCGCGCCGGCCGAGGCGCCCGAGCACCATCGAGAGTTGTGGGGCAGAGTGGCGAGGTCTCGGAGGGCGTGGCGGGAAGTAGATGAAGGAAGTTAGGGCGGGGTCAAGCGGTACTTCCTTCTAGAACCCGGCGGGCGAAACCATCGAGAGGGAGGGCCAGAGAGTCATGGCGGTAAGGGGGCGGGGTGACTGACGGGTCTCTCCAAACCACGCTGCTAGGTGCTAGATCCACGAGCTGTGGTGTGGAGGGGGTTTCGCGTGGGGTATTCCGAGCATCCAGCGTGAGAGGAGGGCTTTAGTTGCGGCTTTCCATGCATAAGTGCTTTGGAAAATTTGATTCTAACCCTGATCCTCAGCCGAGGTCCCTGCTGTGCGTTTACCGCCTGCAAGCCAGGTGCCAGGCAAAGTGGCCGGAGTGGTGGGGAGGAAGGGCAGGAACGATCAAACGGTTTGGTCCCTAGTCTCACTTCTCGGGATTTTACAGCCGAGAATTTACCCGGCCTCATTTTGTGGATAGAGGTGGGATGGAAGAAGTAGCAAATTGGCAGGTTTCATTTTGGCGAGAATATGGGTGTTTTGAACCGAGGGAGCTGCAAGAACAAGGAGGTGGGAGGTGGTTTGCATATTTTCAGAACAGCGAGGCTAGGTGAGCTCTGTGCTAGGGAGAATCTTGAGCACAAGATTGGAAAGCAGTGGTCTTTGGGAACCATTACAGGTGACGGTGAATTTGGTTTGGGATTTATGAAAAGTAGTGTCCTTGTCGGCGTCGCTGAAACTTTTAAATATGTAGTATCGTCACTTTGGACAATTAGCCCAACTATCAGACCAATTAATCGGGTCAATTATTCCCCTTTATGGATGCTTTCTAATAGCTGCTCTTACCCCTTCCCTTCCCTCCCCTCCCCCATGTGCCCCCCACACACACACCACCACCACCTCCACCACGACCAATCTCGGTTATCTTGGCCCTTCTCTGGGCCTGGGTTGACTTTTCCCATCAGTTTGGTGGAAAGTTACATGAGGTGAAAATGTACGGGTGGGAGGATGGGAGGCCTGAGCCACAAGTGTCAGTCCCCCTTGGGGAGGTGGAAATCGGACCATGTGGGAGAGGGAAGCAGCAGGTAGCCAGGAAAGAGCTCAAAATGACCTAAGTATTCGTTTAAATTTTTTTATTTATTTATCACTTTATTGGCAGGCTCTTACACATCTTATGCCAATCCATCATTCAATTGTATTAAGCACACTTGTACATACGTTGCATTTAACATTTCCAAAACATTTTCTTTCTACTTGAGCCCTTGGTATTGGCCCCTCTTTTTCCCCCTTCCCTCCTACCCTTGCGAATCCTTGATCAATTATTTTCTGTCTCAACACTGTTGTCTCCCTTCACCCACATTTCTGTTATTGGCTAAGTATTAGTTTTAACTTGCTGAACCAGCTCCAGTAGGGGATGGAAATGGCAAAGTCTAGTAGAAACTGCTCACTGCTACCCCTCTTCAAGTGGTGCCCCAGGCACAGGACATACCTACCGTACCTTACCTTTCTCCTTACCTTTCTCGGGATTAAAGCAAAATGAAGCATCCTATTGGAGTGGATTCTACCCACACCCCTCCACCCCTATGGGGCAGGAGATGGAGGCCTCATTAGGGGCCCTTCCAAGAATTAATAATCTTAGAAATTTAATGAGTATTTATTTAGATGGGGCATCATAGTTATAAGCAGGGCAGCTTATGGGGCAATAGGCACAAGAGAGGAAGTTTCAAAGACCTCACTCAAGGCTTGTGGCTATTGCTTTGTCAGTGTAAGAGAACAGCTCCTTTGCTCTCTGCTGAGACTCTGGGCCTCTTTCTGTCTCAGGGACCACAACTCTGTCCTGCTGCGAAGCTGGCTACGGTATTCCTTAGGGTTTAAGGGCTCTCCAGAAAACAAGGTAGGCGCTTGCTCACCACACCAAGCCAAACACAAACCCACTGCTGTGGAGACAATGCCAATTCAGATACCTTATAGGATAGGGTAGATCTGCCTGTCGGTGGATTTCCGAGACTGTAACTCTTTTATTGGAGTAGAAAGCCTCTTTCTCCTATGGAGTGGGTCATGGTTTTGAACTGCTGACCTTATGGTTAGCAGCCCAATGCGTAGTAACCCACTATACCATCAGGGCTCCTATGAACAGGCAAATGAAGGGCAAACTGGGCAAGCGCCCTGTAGCCTTCTTCAGACTCTTTCTTTCCAACCCCCACCCCAATTTGCACCCAAAAGGGAGGCTATGGAAGCTCCCTGAGGTGCTGATCTGCCTGGGAGAGAGGGAGGGGGCGGGCCACTTGGGAAGCATGGAGTTCAGTTGTCCCACCAAGCTGTTTTCTCTGCTGTCACTCCTAGGTTTGGATGCCTCAGGGCCTGTAGGGCTCCGTGGGTCTTGTTCAAGATGCCCCTCTCAGACTTTATTCTGACCCTGAAGGACAATCCCTACTTTGGGGCTGGATTTGGGCTGGTGGGTGTTGGCACAGCCCTTGCGCTGGCTCGGAAGGGTGCCCAGATGGGCATGGTGGCCTTCCGGCGCCATTACATGATCACCCTGGAAGTCCCTGCTCGAGACAGGAGCTACGGTTGGTTGCTGAGCTGGCTCACCCGCCACAGCACGCGAGCACAGCACCTCAGTGTCGAGACTTCGTACCTTCAGCACGAGAGTGGCCGCATCTCCACCAAGTTTGAGTTTGTGCCCAGCCCTGGGAACCACTTCATCTGGTAAGGCTAGGAGCCAGGGACTGCTTTCAGCGCAAACAAAGGAGAAAGTGGGGAACAGGGTGGACCCATTCCCTCTCATGTGTCACTCAGGTATCAGGGGAAATGGATCCGGGTGGAGCGCAGCCGGGAGATGCAGATGATCGACCTACAGACAGGGACTCCTTGGGAATCCGTTACCTTCACGGCCCTGGGCACTGATCGCAAGGTTTTCTTCAGTATCCTGGAGGAAGGTGTGGTGGGCACAGGCAGCCCTACTTGGTGGGGGAGGGGGGGGCGTGAACATCCCAGTAGGCAGCCTTGGAGAGTGTATGGGGAGCTAGAGCCCATGGGAGCAGGGGCGGGGGGGGGGCCTAAAGCAGCCATTTGGGTTCAGCACTGTCTGGCTCAAGAATCTGCCCTGGTGAGAATTTAATTTGGGGGCTTGACTCATCTCCCTTCCCCCAGCTCGAGAGCTAGCCTTGCAGCAGGAGGAGGGGAAGACAGTGATGTACACAGCAGTGGGCTCCGAATGGCGCCCCTTTGGCTATCCACGCCGCCGGCGCCCCCTGACTTCTGTGGTTCTGCAGCAGGGTCTGGCAGACCGAATTGTCAAGGACGTTCGGGAATTCATCGATAACCCCAAGTGGTACACTGACAGAGGTGAGGGGCTGGCGGGGTCTCGTTGGGTCGTGTTGTTAGGACTGGGGATTTCTGAAGCTGAAGGGAAAGGAAAGTAACTGACAGGGTGGTTTCTTCCAACACCAAGCCCGCACGGTGCCTGGGGCCTTGGCATCAAGTGGACCCTGGCTATCTCCGTAGGCATTCCTTATAGACGTGGCTACCTGCTGTACGGCCCCCCTGGCTGTGGAAAGAGCAGTTTTATGTGAGTGGAGTCGGACTTCCTCTAAACTTTGCAAAACCTTTAGAGAACCGGGCTGGCCAGACTGGGTAGGAGGGAAACCTTGGGGAGAGACTCCCAGATAAACATGGACAGGGGAAGACCGGGTGGGGGTTAGGGTTAGGCTTTTCAGAGCCAGCTCCCACTACCCCTCCACAGCACAGCCCTGGCCGGGGAGCTGGAGCACAGCATCTGCCTGCTGAGCCTCACTGACTCCAGCCTCTCAGATGACAGGCTCAACCACCTGCTGAGCGTGGCCCCGCAGCAGAGCCTGGTGCTCCTGGAGGACGTGGATGCTGCTTTCCTCAGTCGAGACTTGGCCATGGAGAGTGAGTGGGGCTGAGGGAAAGGGGGTTCCAGAATGGAAGCCTAGAGGCTGACAGGCAGATCCAGAGCCCACAAGAAACGGGGACATGATAGGGGATGGAAAGAGATGCTACTGGCTGGTTAGTATAGGACCACTGAAAGGAGCCCTGGTGGCACTGTGGGCTAAGCAATTAACTGGGAATCACAAGGTTGGTGGTTCAAACCCACCATCCACCCCCAGGGGGAAAGATGAGGTTGTTTCCTCCCATACTCTTGGACACTCCAAGGAGCCACCCTTCCCTGTTCTCCAGGGCTAAGTTGGGACCAGCTTGATGGCAGTGGGTTGGGTTGATAACTGCTCATGCTTCTTCATCCCCATGTCCCTCCAGACCCAGTCAAGTACCAAGGTCTAGGCCGCCTCACCTTCAGTGGTCTCCTCAATGCCTTGGATGGCGTAGCTTCCACTGAGGCCCGCATTGTGTTCATGACCACCAACCATGTCGACAGGTAGGAAGACCCCACCCTCCCTCAGTGCTCCGGACAGACCGGGAGGCTCGGTGGGGACCATCACCTTTGGGATGACAGCGGGACTGGCGCCCACCACTCTGCCTTCCTTGTCTCCTCGCAGGCTGGACCCTGCCCTGGTCCGTCCTGGGCGAGTGGACCTCAAGGAGTATGTAGGCTACTGCTCACACTGGCAGCTGACCCAGATGTTCCAGAGGTTCTACCCAGGGCAGGCACCTTCCATGGCCGACACCTTTGCAGAACGTGTCCTTAAAACTACAACCCAGCTCAGTCCAGCCCAGGTGCAGGGCTACTTCATGCTGTATAAGAATGACCCCGAGGAGGCACTCCACAACACTGAGACCTTGAAGAGGTGACCAGACTTCTGGGTAGCTCTCTCATCTAGGGAACCAATAAACACCTGCCATGCTTTCTCTGCCTCCTCCCCTCCCTGTACTGGTTTCTCAGTGGAAAGCTGGGTCCGCAGCTGCCTACAGGGGGCAGCAGTGCCCCCAGGTGGCACAGATGAGGGTGGAGCCACTAGCTGAAAGGCTGGCAGTTGGAAGCGGCCCAGAGGTGCCTTGGAAGACATGTCTGATCATCTGGTTTCTGAAAGGTCACAACCTTGAAACCTCTGGGGCCATTCTCCTGTGCGCACAGTGGCCAGGAGTCTGAACTGACCCCACAGAACTGAAGACGAGGCCCAGAAACCCAACCATGCCCAGGTGTGTAGGAGCATGGTCCATGCAGCTTGCTTCCAGAGGTGTCCATACCCCTTACTAGCATTCTCGTATTCCCAGGAACCCAGACTTGTCCTACCATGGGCTTGCTAAGGACTTACAAAGAGCCACATCTCACGGGGCAGCCCTGCTGAGCATAGAAAGCCAAAGGCCAGATCTCTTTATTGTTCCCCTCCCACCCCGAGCTCCCCGTCCCCCCAGCAGTCCTGCTAGGAACCATCCTCAGGTTCCAGGCCCAGGGGTTCCCTGCGGCCCGAAGGCCTGTGGACGCCCCGACCGCGGGGCAGGCGGGGGTAGGAAGAGCCTGGTGTCCGGCCTTTGGAGCGCTCCCAGCGAGCATAGTCCCGAGTCCTGCGAGGCGGGGGTCCCTGCCAGCCCCCAGGCCCTTTCTCTGGGGGAGGACCTGGGACCCCTTGGTTGAGGTCCATGGGCTCCTTGAAGGGCCCCTCAGGAGGTGGTGGTTCCTCAGCGTCACGGGTGCCTTTGGAAGCACAGCACTGCCCTCCCTTCAGAGGCCGCCGCTCGGGTGGGGGCGGGTGCCAGGGGTTTCGACTGGCCCGCGGGGGACCCGGTGGAGCTTTTGGGGTCTCACCCAGCCTCGGTCGAGGGGGTCCCACCCTTGGGATCTTCTCACATGTGTGCTGGGAGGCCACAGGCAGAGGAGCTGGCAGGGTGGCCTGGGCAGTGGGTGAGGTGGACGGCTCTGTGGCCAGGGCACTAGGTGGGGGAGGGCTTCTGGAGACGTTTTCAGATGGCTCAGACTGCGACGGGGCAGGAGCCTAGAAAGCAGAGACACTGCTGTTCTGACCAGAGCAGGCCCGCCTCCCTCCTGGGCCAACCGCCATGCCCATGACCCGCGTGGGACAGGAGCTGGAACCCCTGCCTTACCTGCTGGAGGCTAATGAAGAACCGATTCCGCTCTGCCTCCGGGTCGATGATGCCGCCCCGCTCCTGCTGTCTCTGGTAGAGCCGCTTGCGCTCGTCCTGCTGGCGCAAGCTCTCGGCGTCGGGCTCATAGAGCTCCTGGAGGGAAGGAGGGAGGGACGGACACGTGGAGGGGAGGCAGCCGCAATGCCCTCCCTGCTCTTCCAGCACTGCCACAGGAGACTGCTAAGAGGTCTCTGGGTTGGGGCAGCTCCCAGGCCTAAGCCCCAGATTCCCTTCGCAAAGCCCCCTTTGCAGAGGTCTGAGGGAGGGAGGGCATATCCAAGTCCCAAGATGAAATTCGAGGGGAGGTAGGCCCCCCTTTCCGGGAGAATGCCGCTGTGCCCGGCCCAGCTTGAGAGGTGTACCCTTACCATGGGCTGCTGGGGCTCAGGAGCGGCTTGCAGTGCAGCCAGATCATACACGAGGGGCTCTCTGCACACTGGACACTGCACACCAACTGTCTCCTGAAAGAGAGAAAGCCCGCCCAGCTGCCCACTCTGCGGAAGGCGGGGACTGCAGGGTAGAGGCAGCCTGCTGAGGGATGAGGACAGTGGGGGTAGGAGGTACCTGGGAGGGTTAAGTCAAAAAGTATTGCTATTGCCATTCACTCACGGGCTGATTCCAGGCGCTGTTTGAATGTATCTCTGATCAGTGGATGGCTGGAGACAAGTTCTCTCAGTAATACACTTGTCTTAGTCTCATTGGACCTTCAAAAAAGATCTGTTTTTCGTTTTTGGATTCCACAAGGGTGACCCGGGTCATTTTCTCAAAGGATACAGGATAATCACAGGGCTTATTATAGGGAGGCCTTCTATGAAACTGGGACACTGCACTAGGGAGCAAAAGGACAGGAAAGTGGCACTAAGTCGTTTTTTCCCCACCATACTGCACTTCCTCATTTTTTGGAGAGAGCACAGGTTATCCTAGAATTTCCCTGGGAAACCTTACCCCACTCACCCTGCAGTCCTGATCTTGCCCCTTGGGACAGCTTTTGAATCTCCAAACTTCACAAACATTTCAAAGAAGCAAGATTTGAGTGCCTCAGGGATGCCCAGACTGCCGTTTTGCCTGGCGCCAACTGCCAAGTGCAAGCTTCATTGGGGAAGTTAGGGAGATGGAAACCCTACCTTCTGGAGGATAGACACCTAGATGGAGACTGTCAAACAAGAGCTTCACAGTTTGCTGGTTTCTTACTAAGACTCTGTATCATTTTGGAGCAACACTTTCAGACTTACCCTCATATATAGGATGGACCTTTTGCTCGTGAGGTGAGCTCTCATTAACCCCAACGCTATTTAAATCCATTACCATGAAGTGGATTTATAGTGACCCTAAAGGGCAGAGGTGAACTGCCTCAGTGTTTCCAAGGCAGTAATCTTTATGGAAGAATGACACTGCTTTCTCCCACAGACGGGCTGGTGGGTTTGAACTGCCCACCTTTCACTTAGACTTTACACCATCAGTGTTCTCTCTCAAGCTATCTGGGGCCCTAAAGGGCTCAGAGCCACTGGTGAAAGGCAGCGAGGGACCAAGGCTGCCCGGAGGGCGAGGGAGCCTACCTGTCGGGTGGCAGCATGCTGCTGCTCCTGTGCCTGCGCCTTCAGCTCTTGCTCCATGTGCTGGACGTACCTCGCAAGGCAGTGGCAGTGGAAGTAGTGGTAACAGGGCGTTTTGGTAAAGGCCTCCTTCTCCTGCGGGAGGAGATGCAGGGCTCGGTTCCAGAGCTCTCCACTGCCCACCCCACGCAGAGCCCCAGGGCCACGCGAGCAGGAGACCCACCTGGAAACCATACAGGCAGATGACACAGTGGCCGTGGGGAACGTTGTTATCTGTGAGAATCTCCTTCCCTTTCTGAGAGGAGAAAAGACGCTGCTGAGTCAGCGAGGAGGGGCAGGAATGGTGAGCCAGGCCACTGGCCCATTCCCAGGAGAGTGGCTGGAAGCAGACTCCTGGCTGCATTTCGGTCTTGGTGATGTGCCCTTGCTGCGTGGGGCTAGCCCTTCTGCATATTCCCAACCCTCCCCCAAATGTGATCCTCCTACCTTCTGAACCCAATTTCACTTTTTCTCCCACAAATCACTTTAAATTCACCTTGGGGATGAAAAGAAACATACTTTGGAAAGAAGTCCAATTAAAACCCATACCTTCTTGGTTAGGTAGGCTTTTTTGTTTGTAACCCTTGAAACAATTTGTGCTTTATAAAAGATGAACAATTTCCACACCACTCCTCACACCAACGTAACCACAGCACAGAAGCCACAGCACCTTTTTTCACACAGCAGAGGGCAGAGGGCGGAGGGCAGGGCTCGCCCAGCTGAGCCCTTTGAGGAGTTGACCCTGGTGGGGCACCACCAGCCAGAAGCGAGGCCAGCTGGTTCCTTAAGTCACTCACTTTCCCTTTACCACAAATAAAGCCTCAACAGTAAAGAGAAATTGCACAAACTCCCCACCAGGGAACCGTTTCCCCGAGTCAAACGGCATCACTCAGAACAAGGGTCTTTCCCTTCGCTGCGCCCTGGATGGCAGGTTATGGAGGAGGGTGGAACTGCAGCTGGGTGGTCAAGGCATGAGCCGGGGACACTCTGGGAAGCCTTTCTTGATCAAATCTTTGTGGGACAGTGAATTTGTTCTAGAGAGAGTTTTCGGAGTGACAAGGCATGGGCTACTCAAATGGACAGAGAATTCAAAAGGCCCTGTGGTGACCTAGGAGGTATGCTGGCACTGGTGTTGAATAGCTAATACTCTAGAGTTCCGCCCAGTTCCAAGTGGCACTGTGGAGACGATTCGTGGGCTACAGTGGTCTCCTCTGCCCACTCCCTCCTGGAAAAAGACATCATGCTTAACAGAGGCAAACCCTCAGTGAGATGAACTGACCCGAGCCCCAACAATGGGCTCAAACAGCAATGACTGACCAGGTGGGGCAGAACCAAGGGACACTTCCTTCTGTTCCAAGTGAGGCCAGCTTGGTGGCCACTACCAGTGAGGACACCTGGCCATGCCCTTGCATCCAATCCTAAACGCTATTCTGAAATTCAATCCAAAGAGAGGAAACCAACTGACACACAGCAACCCTGCAGGCCTGGGCGGTGCTTTATGCGGGTCCTTTCCTTGTGCAGAGGACTAACTCTTGGAATGAAGGAGTGATGGCTTTTTCAGTCCGCCCTGATGGCAGACTAGCCTTCAGAGTTCCAGTGTGGGCATAACCACTCCCCTGCCCCTTTTAATTGCCACCACGAAGAAGACAGAAAATGCACAGAAACCGAAGTAAAACCAAAGTGAAAAAGGAAAAGTTTAAAATCTATATGCTGCAATAGGCAATTTGGAGAAGCTACCAAACGATCTTTGGGGAGCGTTCTTGAAACAGAACTGTCTCACCTTTCTGCATTCATTCAGGCCTTTGCTAAGCAATGATGGGACTCCTGGGTGGTGCAAACAGCTAATGGCTTGGCTGCTAAGTGACAGTCACTTAAGAGCAGACTCCCAGAGGCACCTTGGAAGAAAGGCCTGGCAGTCTATTTCCCAAAAAATGAGGAAAGAAAACCCTATCAGGCACAGTAGACACACAGGGTCACCATGAGCTGGCTGGCGTCAACTCAGCAGCAAGGGATGGAGGGCTAAAGAATGACGGGGGATGGGGGTGGGGTTGGAGTGGAGATCCAAAGCCCATCTGTAGACAACTGGACATCCCCCACAGAAAGGTTACAAGGGATAATTCAACCAGGGTGCAGTATAGCACCGATGAAACAGACATCAATCCTCTAGTTCCTGAATGCTTCCTCCCCCACACTACCATGACTCAGTTCTACCTTATCAATCTGGCTAGATCGGAGTACACACATTGGTACAGATGGGAGTTCTCGACACATGAAATTCAGGGCAGATGGAACCCTGGGGTACAGTAATGGGAGTAGTGGCATCATGAGTGTAGGGGAGAAAGGGTGAACCCATCACAAGGCAGGAAATAACCCCCCACCCCCACCCTCCCGGGAAGGAATAACAGAAAGATGGGTGAAGGGAGACAACGGACAGTGTAAGACACAACATAACAACAGTAATATAAAATTGATCAAGGATTCACAAGGGAGGGGAAAAAAGAGGAGCTGATACCAAGGGCTCAAGTAGAAAGAAAATGTTTTGGAAATGTTAACGGGAACACATGTACAAGTGTGCTTAATACAACTGAATGTGGATTGTCATAAGATTTGAAAGAGCCCTCCCACCCTTGAAAAAGAATGACAAGAGGAGGTGACTCCAGGTGGGTGCCCAATTCCAGACCCCAGGCTCCCCGCCAAGGAACTCCAGCCCGGGAGGCCACCAGAGCACACCTCTTACCTCAATCAGTTCATAGAGCATGGCAGTGCCCAGACTGGCCTCGGCCACATGGCTCAGCGCCTGGGAGATCCTGGAGAGGGGACAACCCAAACATTCGGCCTACCCGCTTCCGTCACAAGGCGGAACAGCTCCTGAGTTCCCCCTGCTCCAACTGGCTGGCCCAACTTACGTGTGGAGGTGCTCATCAGACAGTCCTCGGGGGTTTCGGACGGAGATCTGTGGCACGGCGTTGGGATACTGGAGGGGGAAAGAAACGGCAGGTTGTTGCTGCCGTGTCCCACCTCAGGTCTGCCCCGATTCCTCCCTTCGCTGCCCGGGGGAGAGGGGCCTCACCTGTGCCGGGACCTGAAGCACCAGAGTGATGCAGACGTACTGTGAGTCCTGGTCCTCTGCAGTGGCAGGGTACAGAGTGATGGAGATTTCCCAGGGCGAAGACCTGCAGGGGTAGGAAGTGGAGACCTGGGCCGTGACTGCGCATGGGCTGGGGAATGATGGGGTAAGACAGTAAAGAGGCACAGGACAGGTGCACTGGACTCTTTTGGGAGAATGACAGCAACTGCCTTGGTCTTCCTGAGAGCAGCATTTGCTCTGAGTCAAGGTCATGGTGACTGAAGACTAGACTCTGCATGGAGTCCTCTCTGCCCACCCTGCCTTGGATACATACCTTCCATTGCCTTTAACCACCTGTAGTTCATCCAGATAGATCGACTCCAATACTTCAACCTCAGAGGGAAGGACCCTAGAGAGACAAGGGGAGCCTGGCTTAGCATTACAGCTCTCCCTGCCAAGCCTGTTAAGGGCAATCGAGGCTGGGTTTACAGAAAACGAGAATCTGCCAGAATTTTTTTTTTTTTTAATCTGCCAGAATTTATTGAGGCAAAAATCCTTCAAAATGGAAGGCTAAGTTGTCAGGGAGTCAGGTAGAAAACACGGAAATCAGAATTTTATGGATGGCTTTGATTAAAGGATAAGAAAATGTATTCCCCACGATGTGAAATGACTAGCCCAAATCTCAAGGAGTGAGAGGAAGAACCTAGATGGAAATCAGGCTTCCTGACTTCCTGGGTAAATCTGCTTCCACTGTTGGTGGTATCTTAGCAGTCATCTCTGACCCAGAACATGGGGTCCACTCATCAGCATCAAAAGGATCACTGCCATTCCTGGCTTTCCTCACACCGTTCAACTTGGCGCCCAGGCCATGCACTGGCTACTCTCTACACACAAACACTGCCCAGAGCAGTCACCCTAAGCTTTTTTAAAGGAGATGTCACCCTGAACTGAGTAACAGGTCTAGGTGGCGCAAAGACCATATTGTCATGCAAGAACCACAAGCCTTAGAGTCAATAATATGAGGAATTTACCAGCTATGTGATCTAGGTATGACCTACCTGTTAGCCTGAGTTGTCTTAACTGCTATATATAGACTGCCTACTTTTTCAGATTTATTCCAAGGACTAAAGGTGAGTACCACAGCCTACCAAAAGAACAAACACATCTGCCTTGGAAGAAATACACCCAGAGTGCTCCTTAGAGGCAAGGATGGAGAGACTTCGTCTCAAATACTTTGGACATGTTGTCAGGAGAGATCAGTCCCTAGAGAAGGAAATCATCCTTGGTCAAGGGGCAGGGAAAAGGAGGAAGACCCTTAACGAGACAGACAGCCATACTGGGCTCAGACACAGGAATCATTGTGAACAGGGCGCAAGACTGGGCAGTGGTCCATTCTGTTGAGCATGGGGTTGCTATGGGTCGGAGTCAACTTGATTGCACTAACAACAAATGTGACTTGTTTATGTAAACTACCTATCTGGGCCATACTGTATGTCCTCTTTTACCTACAGAACTTAAAAAGGAAAAAGAGAAGGGTACAATTAGCAGAGTAGCCTAGATATATTTAGGACCTTGGCCAGATGGTTGATTTTATATCAATCTGCCCAAGTCAAGATCCAATGCTTCGAGTATAAGGCAGAGAACACAATTACTTCATCATAAATGGCAGTTATAATGACATTATAACATACAGTGCAGGTGTATGGTTGGTTTGAGTCCATGGCTCTATCCAGGCCATACATGAAAGTTTTGAGTTTTCCAGTAATTACATTGTTCCCTCTTCACCCAACAGCAGGGCGCTTAAGCCCTCAAAGCTGCTGCTCTCCCCCCTTTGTTTAAATCTTAATGACATTAAAAACAGAAATCAAACCACCATTAGTGTTCAAGTGGATCCCGACTCACAGTGATACTATAGGACAAAGCAGGGCTGCCTGAGGAGTTCCCAAGGTTGCACATCTTGACAGAAGCAGACTGCCACATCTTTTGCCCTCAAAGTGGCAAGTGGGTGCCAACTGCCAACTTTCTGATGCAGCCCAAGTGCTTGCCCACTGCAGCACCAGGAACCTTCCGTCTTTGGCAAAAAACCCAGGTAACTGTGGGGTAAGTCCGGCTGACAGAGGCATGGGAAGCTCTCACACTCTCTCCCAGCACTGCTGCTGTCTCCATGCTCAGGGGCTGGGAATGCTAGAGTCCCTGGAACACTGGGCAACCACCGCCTAGGCGGTCTCAATCAGGGCCAGCGCTGGCTGGGCTCCCGAAGCCAAGGTAGCGCACTCATTCCAGCTCTGGATGGGAGGCATTTGGCAGGATGGTGGTAAGAGACTGTAGAATTTAAGAGTTGCTGTTTGAGGTGCCAACTCAGTGCTCCTCTACACACAGAACAAAACACTGCCCAGTCCTGCACCATCCTCACACACTGCTGTGCAGTACTCAAGAATTTGAGAGTTACCAGTCCGACCAAGATTCCGAGGTGTAATTATTTGCGGGCAAATTACTGTATCTAGTCTCCTCAGCTGCCCACACCTAAAGGAGCTCTTAATGAAAAGGGATGCTTATATGTAACAAACACATCCTGACCTTCTCAGCCAGTCTGTGAAGTAGGTACCACACCCACCTCTTTGTGTGGCTGGGGATACTGACTCACTGGAGCTAAGTAACCCGGTCAGCATCCCATAGCTAGTAAAATGTGGCGTCTAGTCCCATTTTACCCGATCTCCAAATCCCAGAGTCCCTGCAGGCTCGGGTCTGTGGTTAAGAATGCTCTAGAGAAGGACTAGGAGTGGGTTTGGGGAAGTGTACCGCTTTATTCAGCTAAGGGTCCTCCGTCGAGCAGAAGGCAGAGGGAGGACTCAGCACAAATTAGGCAGGTCCAAGAGGGAAGGGGGGGGCGTGGGGGAGGCCTGCTGAGCAGGCATCCCGCTGACCCCTCCAGCAGTTCTGCTTCAGGAGAATACGGACTACCGTAGGGCCGCAGGAGCGGGGACTCCTTTCCATCCGCCCGCTCCCCGGAGGTCCAGAGATGTCAGCGTCTCCCTCCCTGCTCCTCCCCATCGGCCCGCGCGGCCGCCATCGGTCCCTCGACCCCGAGTCCGGTGGCCGGCCCAAGCCCAAGCCCCAAAGTTACCAGTGCTCGTCCCCGGCAGCCGCCGACGCTGACGCCGCCATGTCTTCGCCGGCTCGCAGCCGGAACCGGAAGTGCTTTTGGGAAGCTCGCCGGCGGAAAGCTGAGCGAGAGGGGGCGGGCAGCTAGGAGCCGTTTCCAGGCAACCGCAGACTCTGGGTCCTGAGTGGGTCCTCAAGGCCCAGGGACGACTCGGAAGTGCCCTAATAAGTGCCTTTGGGCAGTCCACGGTCTTCCTCCCCGACAGCTGAACGCCTTTGCCCTTCGAGCCCCTGTCCAGTTCCAGCGGGTAAAGCTGGTGAGGCTGGGGCTCCTGGGGGACCGGCAGTGCGGGGGTGGAGGATTATAAATCAGGCAAAGGTCGCAGGCAGCCAGAAAGGGTGGGATGAAGGCCGGTGCCGGCGTCCCTCGGCCTGAGGAGCTGGACGCTCCTAGGTTGGGGGGGACAGGGGCTTGGGCCTGCCCGGCGCGTGGCCAAGAAGTCTGGGCCGAGGGTCCTGAGGAGGTTGGGAGGGGCAGGAACGTGAGGGAGGGGGCGGGGGCTTGGCTGGGTGGGAGGGGCAGAGTAGGTGGGGAATGCTAGGGGAGGGGCGGGGTCTCGTTGGGTAGGCAGGTAGGGTGGGGATTGGGTGGTTGAAGCTGGATCTGAGGCATTGGGGTCCGGTGGAGGAGGCCAGGATGGAGAACCAGGGAAGGCTTGAAAGGGAAAGGAGTAAGAGTCACATCATCCGAAGACCTCACCCCTTGTCTCTCCATGCATTCCGCCCTCCTCTATCTCTGAGGCTTGGACTCTTGGCAGAGAGGAAGAAGCCAGGCCGCTGACTGTACGCCTTCTCCCAGGCACACACCCGGCCCGTCCGATGTGCGGAACTGCCCCTGGAGCTGTAGCCCTTCACCACCATCCCTACCTCCTTCCTTCGGAGGGCTCCTGAGACGCCATCTGTCATGGAAAAGTACCACGTGTTGGAGATGATTGGAGAAGGCTCTTTTGGGAGGGTGTACAAGGGTCGAAGAAAATACAGCGCTCAGGTGGTGACCAAAAAGGGGGTATCTTTTGGGTGGGTGGGGGGTGCCTACTCCCTTAGCACCGGAAGGGTGTAGCTCAGTGGGAAATGGGCCCAGAAGGGAAGCATTCATCCCGCATCTGTCTTCCTAAGCCACGGACTTCTTCATGCCTTCTCTAGAGCACGGTCTTAAGATTGCCTGGGTTCACAGCGGAACTCCACAGCTTCCTAGCTTTAGAACTCCGGACAAGTGACTTCACTTCTCTGTCTTAGTTTCTTCACTGTGGCGTGAGAATACCAACACCTGTTCACGAGGCTTAAGGGTTAACTAAGTGCCACGTCATACCAAAGCACTGAGTGTAGTGCTTGGCCCATAGGAAACAACAAGCATTAACCCTTTGTCATCGAGTTGATCCGACTCATAGCAACCCCATAGGACAGGGTACAACTACCCCATAGGGTTTCCAAGGCTTTACAGAAGCCGACTGCCGACTCCCACAGAGTGGCTGGTGGGTTTTAACTGATGACCTTTTGAGTAGCAGCCAAGCACTTAGCAACTATACACCAGGACCCCTTGAGTAATCATTAGCTGCTAATATTTGTCACACCAAGCACGATGAGTTAGACTACGTGTCCTCAAACTACGGCCCGGCCCATGGGCCACATGCGGCCCCGCTGAGGACATTTATCCAGCCTGCTGGGTGTTTTTGCCCTGTTTTGTTTTTTACTTCAAAATAAGGTATGTGCAATGTGCGTAGTAATTTGTTCATAGTTGTTTTTTTTAGCTATATAGTCCGGCCCTCCAACAGGTCTGAGGGACAGTGAACTGGCCCCCTGTTTGAAAAGTTTGAGGCCCCCTGAGTTAGACCATATGAACCCATTTCTTCCCACGTCATCCCCTCCCCCCAAATCCTCTATAGCCCATGATGTCCAGTCCTTTTTTCAGATCAGAACTCCTCTCCCAATAGTCACTTGTCAAGATGTGCCCCAAAGTAGCCAGAGATATGTCTGACAGAGGCTAGGGGTACGGGGAAGCTAGGAAAGGTCAGGGTACCACACAGAAAGTAGAGGGGAACCAACCAATGGGATGCAAGTTGCTGAAGCAGTCTAAAGACTACACTGTAGTACTCAGTTAACGTTGAAGGGCTACCCCTTCCCTTCCCGAGAGTGTGGTTAGTGTGGTTGATTCTTCCCCCTCCCCACTGACAGGTGGTGGCCCTGAAATTCATCCCCAAACTGGGCCGCTCAGAGAAGGAGCTGAGGAACCTGCAGCGAGAGATTGAAATCATGCGGGGTCTGCGACATCCCAACATTGTGCATATGCTCGACAGCTTTGAGACTGACAAGGAGGTGTGCTTCTATGGTTTGGGTCCCCTCTCCCCAGCACTGGGTTCCAGGGACTCTTCTCTCTTCTCCCTCCCCCTTCCCCCCACCTCAGAATGCATCAATGGAGCCATCAGCACCACAGCCTTCTCCCTGTAGGTGGTGGTGGTCACAGACTATGCTGAGGGAGAGCTCTTTCAGATCCTTGAAGATGATGGGAAACTTCCCGAAAACCAGGTATGCTTCATGACTCAAACTTCTCCCTGCCCCTGGTCAAGTACTGATAAGAAAGCTAAGGATGCTGAGAACCTCCATTTGCAAGACTCCTGAGAACCTAAGTCTAGGTGTCTGTGGAGGCAATGTGTGACAGTATAGTATAGGAACCAACCAAAGAACTCATGGCCGTAGAGTCAGATTCCCCGTCATAGTGATCCTGCGGGACAGGGTAGAACTGCCCCCGTGGGTTTCCGAGACTGTCACTCTTTACAGGAGTAGAAAGCCTCATCTTTCTTCTGGGGAGTGGTTTGTGGTTTCAAACTGATGACCTTTTGGTTAGCAGTCCAACACGTAACGGACGATGCCATCAGAGCTCTCACAGCCTAGAGGCACGAACCGAAATACCGAAGCCTGGCACTGCCACTCCTCACTGGGTGCCCTTGGTCCAGTTACTTAACCTCTTTGTACTTCAGTTCCCTCCTCTGTAAAATGGGGATATGACGCCTGTTACCGTACAGGGCTTGTTTGAGGACTAATGAGTTCACTTATATCAAGTATGTATAAGAGTGCCTAACACATAGTATAACTAGCTTTAACTAAGGGTTAAAGATGCCTTAGGCATCTTGAGGGCAGAAAGGCCCATGTAGTGGGTGCCCTAGAGGGCAGTAAGGAATAAAGGTAGTCACAGGATTTGCCACAGGCTGTAGCAGTTGGTAGGATTTGACAGAACACATTCTCTAGCCATGTTCATTTTAAGGGTGTCCCCGTGTGCTCACAAGCAGCTCCCAGGCAGTGTCCCTGGACATAACCCTCTTACTTCTTTCTTAGGTATCTGCAATTCGCTTGTTCATTTGCTTTTGTTTGTTGGACTGCTACTTTTGAGAGCAGAAACGTTGTCTTGCTTACTAATGGCTAATGTGCGTTGCAAAGGAGCCCTGGCTAGGTAGTGGGCTATGTCTTGGGCTGCTAAGTTGAGAGTTCAGCAGTTCAACTCTCCCAGTGGCTCCAGGGGCAGAAGATGGGGCATTCTGCAACCATACAGATAAGACAGCCTTGAAAACCCAAAGGGACAGTTCCCTTCTGTCCTATAGGGGTGCTCTGATTCAACATCAGCTTGGTGGTCGTGGATTTGGTTCAGTAACATGCATCGGCAGGAGTCCTGGTTGCACAGTAGTTAAGCACTTGGCTGCTAACAGAGGTTAAGTTTGACTCCCCCACCCCCAGTCTGGGTCCATAAGGTCTATTGTCTACGAACCCTCCTGGGGAGGTTCTGCTCTATCTGACTCAGAATCCACTCGAAGGCAATGGGTAATGCATATGGAACCCTTGGGAGATGTCAGGCACCAGGCAGAATACTAGATGGATCAACTCGTTTAATCCACACAGTGAGTCTAGTCCGTGAAGTTGGTGGTGTCCTTGTTGTCCCTTTACAAATGATGAAACTAACTGATCACGGTAGTAGTACTCGTGAATGACATCCAGGGGTTGAATGAACGAACGAATGAAATGGTTGACTGGAGAAGAAGGAAACGCCAAGGCAGCTCCAGTGTGAAGCTCTGGAGGAAAGCTGCGGGGGGCAGGATCCCCAGGACCCACAGTAGGATGGGGAGGGTTTTTGGCCTCTCCAGCAGGCGCCTTCAACCAGCCTTGCTTTGCTTTTCTTCTTCCTGCCTGACTCTAGGTTCAGGCCATCGCTGCCCAGTTGGTGTCGGCCCTGTACTACCTCCACTCCCACCGAATCCTGCACCGTGACATGAAGCCGCAGAACATCCTGCTGGCCAAGGGGGGCGGCATCAAGCTCTGTGACTTTGGGTGAGGCTTCTGCGCTCCCTTCTAGGCGTCCAGCATTGGGGGAGTCTTCGCCTGAACACTTGCCTTACCTGGGCCTGCCTCTCGTTGGATCTTTTGGAATCTCAGCAAAGGGGCTTTCTTGCTTTAGGCGTGGGCTGTCTCATGCCATGACCAGGTCTGATTTCTAGTGATACCGTCTCCCTCTCCACTTCCCTCCCTCCCTCCCTCCCTCCCGTCGTCTGCTGCAGGTTTGCCCGGGCAATGAGCACCAACACCATGGTGCTGACATCCATCAAAGGTACCCCACTGTACATGTCTCCAGAGCTGGTGGAGGAGCGGCCGTATGACCACACGGCAGACCTCTGGTCTGTGGGCTGCATACTATACGAACTGGCTGTCGGCACCCCTCCCTTCTACACCACGAGCATCTTTGAGCTGGTCAGCCTCATCCTCAAGGACCCTGTGCGCTGGCCCTCGACCATTAGCCCTTGCTTCAAGGTAAGGGATAGACAAAGGAGACCACTTTCGTATCAGGAATATGGCTCCGATCCCCTGCCCCTTTCCTGGGAAACAATAATTTCTAAAAATGACAGAGCTTACTGAAAGAGCTGGGCCAGAGCAGGCTTGCTTTGCTGCTGCGGGGGCTCATCTGCTCGGCTGTGGTCAGGTCTGCCACAGTTGGCAATGGCAGCCCCTCTTCGGGCCAGGCTTTCCTTTTGGCGCAATGAGCAGTCATTTCAAGAGAACAGAAACAAGAATTGGTCCTTCCATCTGTCCTTCAGCCCATTTATATTCCCTCAGATGCAATGTCCCAGGGATAGTTAGATGGTATGCTGCCAGCTTTAAGTCCTCTGCCAGAGAGAAGGAATCTTCAGACTTCTGGCTGGGTGGGTCAGAAATTAGGGGCGGATGAAAGAGGTGGTACCTGTTCATTACTGCTAAGTCTCAGGCTGGCGTCCCCTGCTGTCAGAGTAACCAGCCTCTGACAATATCACGGGTACGTAGGTGCAATTGTACGGCGATAATATATAAAGATTATAGTAAAGTCATAGAAGATAGGAGAGAAAGTTAAATAATGGAGTCAAGACACATTCTGTGGTAGCTTGCTCACCTCCTGGATGGCCACAATCTCAGCAGCCAGGTCCGCACAGAGAGCAGGAGGAGGAGAGGCCAGAGGAAATCTTCACTGTCTTGGGATCTTTGTAAGACATGCATATTCAGTAGTTGTATCCGTCACAAGGAGGGTGGTAACCACAGTAAAGTCCCTGAGCTCGCAGGTGAGGAAACCCAATACCTGCACTGGGGGAAGGCATGAGGGCAAATAGGGGTGCCTTGGTGGGAGTTGATAATCAAAGAGTGTTTGCTAATCCAGGGAGACAGAATCGACCATGTGCTCACTTGAAGGTAGCCTAGCTGCTAGGGGAGAATCTGTGGGGCTGGCATGTAAAACAAGATAATGTGCTTGGATTTTATCTCTAATTTAGCTTTCCAGATTCCCTCTGTTATAAGTTAGGGAATATCATCCTGTTCATATTTCCCTCAGTGTTAGTTTCCCACACACTGCCTTTTTTTGTGAAGGGGAAGGGGAGGAGTTCTGCCTCAAATTCTTCTCTAGGGGAAGATGTTCGGCCTTCCATGAGACTTAAATATCACCTTCTTGCATGGAAGCCATTCCGACATTCCCCTTGCTTTATGAAGATAAGAGGGAACAAGTGCCTCCCTAGCCTATTTATCACTGCTGTTGAGTCGGTGTCGACCCACAGTGACCCTATAGGACCAGGTACAACTGTGAATTTCGGAGACTGTCTCTCTTTACAGGAATAGAAAGCCCTGTTTTTCTCCCTAGGAGTGGCTGGTGGTTTCAAACTGAAAGGCAGACTTTGCAGATCGTAGCTCCCACCAGGGATCCTTTCTAACCTATTTGGGAGATAGAACTTATCAGAAGGAAATTCATTCTTCCTTTGGGCAGAGCTTTGTTACACTCACCTGCCGTCTGTCTTTCAGAGCTGGGATCATAATCTACTAGTAGCTTCTATTTCTGTTTCAGGCCCAATTGAGGATTTCCCCAAGGAATCCTCATAGCAGATGTACCCTTTTTGGAGACATTCTCCTTGCCCCTCCTCCGTCCGAAGACTTGCTGAGAGAGAGATAGTCCTAGTTTTGAGTGCTCCCAGATACATCTTTACATAGTGGCTTGTGTGTGCGAGTGTGGTTTTAACCATGAGTGCATCTGTTCCGACCCAGCCACAAGTACACCCTCATCAACAGGAGGGCAAAGTGGTTGTTTTCTACCAACGATGGTGAAGGTGACACTTTTCTCCCTTCCTCACAAAGCTCGTGGTAGGGAGGTTTCTGTTTCTCACCTCTGGGGCTCCAAAATGCTAAGGCAAGGGTGAGGAAGGGCTGGGATCCAGACCAGCTGGTGTGCTGCACAGCAGGGCATAGGGCGCCTCGGTTTTGCCAGTTCTGCTGATGAGAGAGAGCCTGATCAAAGCAGAGGGCTGATGGTGTATTTCTCTCTCCACAGAACTTCCTGCAGGGACTGCTCACCAAGGACCCCCAGCAGCGGCTGTCCTGGCCAGATCTCTTACATCACCCCTTCATTGCTGGCCACGTCACCAGTGAGTCAACAGGACTCCCAGGGCTGTTGCACTACCCCAATAGTCTTCTAAATATGTACCCCAGGACCCAAGCCCCTGCGTCCGGCACCCCGTGCTTCCTCCACCAGCTTGAATTTTCCTCCTAGCCCTTTCCCTAGCCTTGCCACTTCTCTTGTAAACTCCCTCGCTGTTGGCCACTTTGCCAAAATGATCTCCTTCCACAGAGGCCCGCAGAAACAGAGGAGACACCTGTCTGACCACATCTTCCCCTTCTTCCTGCAGTAATAACGGAGCCAGCGGCCCTGGGCTTGGGCACACCGTTCACCAGCCGCCTCCCTCCAGAGCTGCAGGTCCTAAAGGACCAACAGGCACATCGGCTGGCCCCCAGGGGTAATGGATTGCGTGTCTTGCGTCAGGCACGTAAACGCATGGCTGAGGAGGCCAAGCAGAAGGTGCGTGGGGCAGAGCAGGTCACGAGACATGACCAGGCTAGTGAGTGGGAAAATGGGAGAAGAGGGACTTTCCAGGAGTGGGAAAAGACCGCCAATGGGAGTCATCTTCCCCTGTGGTTCTGATCCAGGGTCTGCCACCCTCCTCCCACAGAATCACCAGAAGACTGCGCCTGCGCTTGAGCAAGAGGACAAGACCAGCAAGGTGGCTCTGCCCAGGCTAAGGACCACCCCTCAGGAACCAAGCCTCTTGGCTGGGATCTTGGCCTCAGAAATGCAGAGCAACTGGGCTGAGTGGGGGCCTGGAGACGCCCCCTCCACACCTTGGTGAGCAGAACTTACCTAGGGGTTTATGTACGGTCAAGGATCTTGCAGAGTTTTTACTTTAGCCAAAGCAATTACAACATGGTCCTGGGCACTGAACGCTGCTTAAATCTGGACAGGGCTCTGGGAGTCCTGGTCCTGGGTGCTTGGGTTCTGATTCCACACATTTTGCCGATGGATCAGAAATGTGGGGACTTCCCTCTCTGTGTCTCGGTTGTGCATTAACCAAAAGGGGGAGGACCATCTCTGACCAGAAGGGCAAGTTGTCAGAATTGAGAGCCACTGGTGCAAACTGCCAGAAGAGGCTTGAGACTGAGATCCCAGGGATTTGTCCATAGTGCTCACATATCCCATCCTGGCCACAGCTCAGAAGCCGGCGCCAAGCCTTATATGACTTGCTCTTTCCTTGCCTGAGCCTTGGGGAAGGGGAAAGTTAATGAGCCCAAGCCTCACCAGTCAGGAGCTTATTACCCTGCTCATCCGTGTCCTCTGTTAGGGAGCCTCAGATCACTGCAGATCAAGAACAGGCTTTCCCGGAGCCGAGACCAGAGGTGGTGGACCAGAAGACCATGGATGCAGTAGATCTAGAAAATGAGGTGAGCCTTAGGGATTCTTTTCAGCCTTCTGCTAGGGGCCTTTGGGTCTGGCTTGATGTCTTCCTAGACCCGTGATTCCCAATCTAAGTGTGAGTTCCTTCTGCATTAAAAATGGTACTCTTGTCATGAATGTTTAGATTTTAATTGCTCAGTATCTGAACGCCTAATTATCAGAAGTCAGAACATGTAGGTAAAAATGAAAACCCTCTGTGCCCATGAACCTTACCTGTTTCAAAGGTGACCACTGTTAATCAATTCAGCCTGCCTCCCTCCAAACTCCCTGTGCCTTTCACATACAGGCACAGTTAGAAGAACCCAGTTTGATCTTGTTTTGACATCACCGACTTCATACTGAACTGGTTTGTTCCATCCCATGGCTCTTTTACCACATGATTTGTTTAGAGGGCTTTCCTGCATCAGGTCAGCTTGTGTTACCTCAATCTTTGGTCTCGTTTAGGGTGTTATCTTTTCCTCTTGTAGTAATTTCAAATGTACAGAGACATGGTAAGAATACTATAAAGAATTCCTGTAAACCTCTCTCCCCTGTTTTGCTAACCTTTCACCACCTTTGCTTTATAATTTTATTTCTATGTTTATATGGGGAACTTCAAAATTTGTGGGAGTTTGTACAATTCTCCTTAATAGTGTGTTAGCCAGGGTTCTCTAGAGAAACAAAACCAGGACACTTATGATTTTTTATATATATATTTATTTATGTAATAAGAAGGCATATAATGGCTAATTAATCCACACAACAGTAGAGAGGACTCAGTTCAACCCACTTTCATGGAACAGGTAATATACTTAAGGTCCTTCAGTTCATGAATGGGCTATTTGTCCAAGGTCAAGGAAGCAGATAGATGAGTCTGACCTCAGGCAAGACAGGCAAAGGTCCGAAGGCAGCGGGGTGGGGTAGCATGGGAGCATGGTGAAGCAGGCCTTGATTGGGTCTCAAGTTCTAGTGAACCATGGCAAGGCAGCACGATCCACAGGTTGGCTCAGCCCACAGGCAGTGTAGCACACAGTTGAGGCAAATAACTAGCTCAGTACGCTGGTCTGATCACCAGGGAGGCTAGCCTCGGAAAGCATTGATCTCAGTTGCCCTCCAATTAAGCTGTGACCTGATTAAACTCCACCTACATGTTTCTACAGAGTCCTCGTTGGCACAATAAACCTAATTCTCACAAATAGATTCATGCCATCGAGCATGTCAATAAACTTTTTTGTTTGTTTTAAGTTCATGGGAAAATGGAGTTAAAAGATAATGGAGTTTTTTCACGAACTTTTAGAAGCTCCTTCGTATATGTATGTGTGTGTGTATATATATATATGTAAATATATATATGCACACAACCCTCTTTCTGAACTATTTCTTTATCTATCATTGTTTCTTTCTTTATGAAAACATTGTTTTCTAAGGATCTCTGTCAGTGTAGTGGTTATTAAACACTCAACTGTTAGGGGTAAAGGTTAGCAGTTCAAACTCACCAGCTACTTCTTCAGGAGGAAAATGTGGCAGTCTGCTTTTGTATAGATTTACGGCTTCAGAAACCCACTGAGACAGTTCTACTCTGTCCTATCATGTCTGGAATCATCTCCATGGCAGTGGGTTTGGATTTGGGGGTGGGATGAGGTGTTTTTTGAGAACAATGTCATTCACCTGCACGATCACCGTACATTATAAGAATCAGAAGTTTAACATAAATGTAAGGCTGTTGTTACCTACTCTCCAATCTGTATTCAAATGTCACCATTGCTCCATCCAGCAATGTTTCTTATAGCAAGCAAAAAAGAAGTGTTTTCCTGGCCCCGGATCGGCCAGACACTGCACATTGCATCTATTTGTTGTCACTCATTGGTCTCCTCTCACCTGGAGCCGGGCCTGTACTTTCTTTGTCTGCCAGACTCACAGTTCTGTAGAGTCCCTCAGTGTGATAATTTCCTCATGACTTGTTTCAGGGGACACACTTGTGACAGGCACCACCACCTTTAAACAACCATTTGGGAGTGCCCTCCATTAGTTCCTTCACGGTTGGCTGTATAATGGCACACATGGGCCAGTGTTCTCCAGGAGACTTTTCAAGGGCCCTCACGTTGACCAACTGGGCTTCTTAAAACCAGTCATTGACAAAACCCAAACCAAAAACACCTGTGCCAGAGGAGTCAGGGGGTTCCTGACGTTATTTCAAGGGTCCCAGGGGTTTGCGCCCCCTGGGTCAGAAGTTTTCTTTTAAGCTTGACAATGTCCTCCTGACCCTTCTCACTCCCCTTTGCCTCAGGAACCAGACAGTGACAAGGAATGGCAGCACCTGCTAGAGAGCACCAAGCCCTTGCCCACTCAGCTGAAGGCCCCGCTCAGCCTGCTGTGCAATCCTGACTTCTGCCAGCGCGTCCAGAAGCAGCTCCAAGAGGCCGGAGGGCAGGTGACCAGCAGAAGGAGATGGGGGTGACACTTGAGACTGTTTTCACAGACAAGGCAGGATAAAAAAATATATTAACAGAATGAGAAAGGGGGTCCTGATGGTGCCACGGGTTGAGCGCTGGGTGGCTCGAGCCTGCCCGCCACTCCATGGGAGGAAGATGAGGAGGCCGTCTGCTTCCGGCAAGAGTGACAGCCTGGGAAACCCTCTGGGACAGTTGAGTCAGAATGGAGTTTGTTTCTTTCCAATGCTCCTAGCCCAGGAGGCTTGCTAATCTCCCGCTGTAGCCCAGAAAGCAGGTTTCAAGCTTCTCTGGTTTCTAAAGGGATAGGTGTCTTATCTAGAGCAGGGGTCGACACACTTTTCCTGTGAAGGGCCAGATGGGAAATGTTTAGGCTGTACAAGCCAAAAGGCAAAACTGGAGACTGCTATAAAGTAATTGGATATATAATTTTTTTTTCATAATTCAAGTCTACTAATGACATGAGTGAGGTTCCTTCGTTGGGAGACAGCACTTCCCTCCCCAGAGGCTGGCCCCCTCTTCCTCGTGAATTCTGTTAGTGACTTTTTCGAGGTATCATATGAATCCCATACAATTTTCTCACTTTTAATGTACAAGTCGATGATTTGGGGAAATGTACCAACTGGTGAAACTAGCATCATCATCCAATTTGAGAACAGTTTTATCTCCATGTGCATCGGAACATGCTACAGAGAGTCCTTAAAACCCTTTCAGGGTTGCTAATAGGGACCCAGGGGGCATACCTATCACTCTGCTGTAAGCCTCAACCTCAAAGCGTTCAGCTCAAGATCTGTGGGTCAGCAGCCCCAGCTCCCTGATGTAAGTGCCGAGAGGCACTCCATCCTAGTAAGCCTCAGCCCAAGGGCACTCAGCTTCTCTTCTATGGGTAAGCAAGCCCAGCTCCCCTAATTAAGCACCCAGAGTCACCCCGCTTCACAAAGATACCTCCTGTGCAAAAGAACTCAGCTTTACTCACTCTGAGGATTGGGAAGTCCATCACTCTGTTCCATGCTCTGGTTCCTGGTTCTGCCGATGTCACAGCTGTTTTCTAGATCCAGGAGGTTCACTGTTTACAGATCTCAGGTCCAGAGGACCTGCTGTACTGTGCTCTTGGCTCTTATTGGTAATGAGATCCCTCCTCCTGCTTCTCAGGAGGCTCCTTTTACTCGTGTCAGGATGGCTTTCTAGGGGACCCTATTCACAATCACTCATAGGTGAATCCTATCAGTATCTTTCCCCATCTTCTTACCAGACCCATGCAGGAAAAGGTAGATTCTTAGAGACTTTGGCTCAATGAGGCACATTAAATAATGCACCGCCCCTGCAGCATGTTTTTGAGGGTCACTCACTTTGTGGCCCCTTTTCAGTACTTTGTTTCCCTTTTTATTGCTGAGTAGTATTCCATTATTTTGATGGATCACATTTTGATGGACATTTGGATTGTTCTCACTCTTTGACTTTTAGGAATAGCACTACTATATAAAGTAAGTTCAAATCTTTGTCAGGCCAAATGTTTTCATTTTTCTTGGGTAGATACCTAGGAATGTGATGGCTAGGTCATATAGTAAAATTATATTTCAGGAAGAAACTGCCAAACTGTTTTCTGAACTGTGCCATTTTACATTCACACTGGGACTTTCCATTTCTACAGATCATGTTAGCATTTGTTGTTTTCTGTCTTTCTGACTGTAGCCTTCTAATAAGTGTGAAAAGGAGCTCTAATAGTGTGGTCAGGTAAGCCAGTTGTTCAAACCCATCAGCTGCTACGAGCGAGAAAAATAAGGCTATTTTCTCCGATAAAAATGTACAGACTTGGATACCTTATACAGGGTCACTTATGAGTCGGAATCCACCATTTGTCTGTCATTTTATCATACTTCATTATCATATTCCTGTGATTCTGGAAGCTATGTCATTGGGATTTCACATGCCGGCAGAGTCACCCAGCATGAGCAAGTTTCAGCAGAGCTTCCAGACTAAAAAGAGGCTATGAAGAAGGAATGGGCTGCCAACTCTGGAGGGATTAGCCACTGGAACCCTTCTGAGTAGCAGTGGACTGTTGTCAGATACAGTGCTGGTAGATGAGCCGTGCAGCTTGGAAGACACTCAAAATATGTCTTGAGCAAGAGCTGCCTTCTCATAGAGTCAGCCAGAATGACATGGATGAAATAAAGCTTCCAAGACTTTCATCTGTTGATGAGGCATGACTCCAAATGAGAAGAAACAGATGCAAGCATTCATTAAAATATGCAACATGGAATGTATGATGTATACGTCTGGGAAAATTAGAAGTCATCAAAAGTGAAACAGAACGCATAAAGGTTAATATTATAGTCATTGGTGGACTGAAATTGTTATTGGTCAGTTTGAATCAGACAATTATATATATGGTTTGTTATACTAGGAATGACAAATTCAAGAGAAATGGTGTTGCAGTCATTATCAAAAAGAACATTTTGAGATCTATCCTGAAGTATAATTGTGATAGGATAATATTTGTATGCCTACGAGGAAGTCAAGTTAATACAACTATTATTCAAATTTACCAATAAGCTAATGATGAAGACATTGAATAATTTTACCAGTTTCTTTCATCTGAATTTGATCAAACATTCAATCAAGGTACATTGATAATTTTTGGTGATTTGAATGCAAAAGTTGAGAGTAGAGGAAGAAACAGTCGTTGAAAAATATGACATTAATGATAGAAATGAGGCTGGGGATAGCATGATAGACTTTTGCAAGACCAATAAATTTTTCATTGCAAATACTTTTTTTCAAGGACATAAATGATGACTCTACACATGGGCCTTATCAAACAGAATACCCAGGAACCAGATTGACTATATCTGTGGGAAGAGATGACAGAGAAGCTCAATATTGGCAACCAAATTGAGACCAGGGACTGACTGTGAAACAGACCATCAATTGTGCATATGTAAATTCAGGTTGAAACTAAAGAAATTGAAAATAAGTCCACCAGAATAAAAATATTCTTGAGTATATTCCACCTGAATTTTGAGAACATCGCAACAACAGATTTGACACATTGAATACTTCTGACAGAAGACCTGCAAACTGTAGTATGGCATCAAGAACAAGGTACAGGAAGAAAGCAAAAGACCATTAAAAGGACAAGAAAGACAGATCTAAAGGAACGCCCGAAGAGACTCTGAAGCTTGCTCTTGAATGTAGAGCAGCTAAAGAGAATGTAAGAGGTGATGAATAAAAAGAACTAAACAGAAATTTTCAAAGGGCATCTCAAGAAAACAAAGTAAAGTACTATAAATGAAATGCGCAAAGACCTAGAGTTAAAAACCAAAATGAAAAAAGAACATGCTCAGCATTCCTCAAGCTGAAAAATTTAAGACTGAAGTTGCAATGTGGAAGAATTCTGTGGGCAAAGTATTGCTGTAGGAATGAATGTAGGAATCATCAAAAGACAATGGAAGTCAGTGTATTAAAAAAACACACAACAAAAAACTGGTCAATAGTCAACTTTTTCAAGAGGTAGCATATGATCAAGAACCAGTGATACTGAAGCAAGAAGCCCAAGCTGCACTGAAGGCTCCAGGAATTGATGGAATACCAACTGAATTGCTTCAGTAAGCTGATGAAACACTAGAAGCACTCACTAATCTACGCCAAGAAATTTGAAAGAGAGCTAGGTGCCTAGCCACCTGGAAGAGATCCATACTTGTACCCATTCCTAAGAAAGATGACCCAACCAAATTTGAAAATTCTCTAACAATATTATTAATATCACATGCAAATAAAATTTGCTAAGGATAATTTTTTAAATGATTACAGCAAAACACCAATAGGGAGCTGCCAGAAATTCAGGTCATTCAGACAAGGATGTGGCATGAAGAATATCATTGCTGATGTCAGATGGATCTTGACTCAAAGCACAGAGTACCAGAAAGATGCTTGTGTTTTTGGTTATGAAAAGACATTCAACTGTAGACCATTACAGACTATGGATAAAATCCCAAATAATGGAAATTCTAGAACACTCCCTTGTGCTCTTGCAGAACCTGCACATGGATCAAGAGGCAAATTGTTTGAATAGAACAAAGGAAGGCGGTATAGTTTAAAATCAGGAAAGGTGTGCATCAGGTTGTATCTTTTCACCATCCTTATTCAATCTGAGTACTTAGCAAATAATCTCAGAAGCTAGACTATGAAGAAGAATGCAGTGTCAGGATTGGAGGAAGGTTCATAAGCCTTTGATGTGCGGTTGACACAACTCTGCTTGAGAAAACAAGGAAGGCTTGAGGCACTTGCTGAGGGGTGATCAAAGCATTCAGCTTTCAGGATGAGTTGCAATTCAACGTAAAGAAAACCCATGTCCTTGATGACCATAGACATCATGATAAACTGAGAAAAGATGGACGTTGTCAGAGGTTTCTTTTTCCTTGGGTCCACAGGCAAGGCTTATGCAAGCAGTAGTCAAGCAACATAATGACACCTTGTTTTGGGCAAATCTGATGCACAAGACTTTTTTTTTACAGTGACAACGAAGAAGGAAAACAAGAAGAATGCACTTGAATCATGGTGTCTATGAAAAAGATTGAAAGTACAATGGAATACGAGAAGAATAAACAATTCCATGTTGGAAAAAGTTCAGCCAGAACAATGCTCCTTACAAGCTAGAATGGTGAGACTTTGTCTTGCGTGCTTTCAGCATGCTATTGTGAGACCAATCTCTGACGACAGGCATCATGCTCGGTAGAGTGGAGAGTCACCAAAAATAGGAAGACCTCCAACGAGATTGGTTGACACGGAGGTTGCGACAGTGGACTCGACCATGTGCAAGACCTGGCAGTGGGCCTTTCTGTTGTCCTTTGAGTCGCTATGAGGCTGAAGGAACCAATGCCTCTAACAACCACAACAGTGACTAATGATCTTGAGCATCTTTTCATGTACTTATTAGCCGTTTGGCTATCTTTTTTTGGTGAGTTATCTATTCAGATCCTTTGCAAAATATTTCCTTGGTTTTCCATCTTCTTGAGTTGTGATACCTCTTTTCTGTTCTGGATACAAGGCATAATATTTGAAAGTACATGTATTCATCACTTATCGTCCACTGTTAGTTCCGCGAAAGAGGATGTTGTGTGATTTGGATGTTGTGCAAACACCAGATTAAGACCTATGGGAGGTGGGGGGAGACCTATGGGAGCACGCTTCTGGCTATCCTTATTGCTGCCGCCACTGCTGCTACCGCTGGAGCGTCTGTTGGCAAGACTAGAGGAGTGGAGCTGGCCTGCCTGCCAGAGAGCCCACACCAGAGCCTCACCTGCCTGTATCCTGCTGTGCTCCAGTGCTGCACGAGACTGGGTTTGGAAGCTGGGGTTTTTAAGACTGTTGGGGGAAAATAATAAACAAAAGGAGAGCTCCATCTGTCCTGGATTCCCTGTGTTTCCACTTCCCATCTCTACCGGTGTACATCCTCTGGTCTAGCCAGATTGATAAGCTGCTGAGGTCACTGCCCACCATGGGCCCTGCCTATCTTGGATTTTACAACTTCAGGACCCACTTGAGTCTGAGGAAGTATCCAGCCTCTTGCCAGCCTCTACTACTGTCAGGACTCCCTTTGGGACAGATTGATCAGCATGAGCAGCAGGAACCCACCCAGGCTCCTGGACCTTGCCACCAGAGCATATTGCAGGATGAGGCCCCGGCCATTGCTGCACTGGAGCGGCTGCCCACGGAACTCAACCCACCCTTGTTCATGCAGCTGTCATCCGAGAGACAGTGGAATCTATGGTGCAGGCCTGGCCTTTTATCCGGCTCCCACTAGGGGCACTCATGGAGTCTGGGCATTCTCACCAGGATATCTTCAAGGCTGTCCTGGATGGTTTTGATAAACTGCTTACCCCAAATGTTCACCCCAGGAGATGCCAACTGAGAGTGCTGGATGCATGCCTGAACACTGACACAAACTTCTGGAAAGTATGGTCTGGAACCAAATCCATTGCCTCTGTGACCTCGTCAGAAGATCCAGTAACCACCCAGCCCAGCACTATGACTCATACAGGGAAGGATTCCAGTTCAGGGGAGAAGCCTCAGCCTTTGGCTTCCATGGCGCTGCTCACAGTCCTGCGTTTTGTTGAAACAGACCCAGATGAAGTGCTCACCTGCCTCATGGAAAGAGTCCAGCAGGGAAAGGACCTGCCACCCCTGTGCTGTAGGTAGCTAGAATTTGTTGGTCTCCCACAACTTCCCATTATGGAGGAGATCCTGAACACGGTGCAGCTGGTCTCTGTAAAAGAGGTGGTATTGCACTGCAGATGGGACGTGCACACCCTCGACTGGTTTCTTCCTTACTTGGCCCAGACGGGTCAATGCAGCACACTCCATCTCACTGGAATAATCCTGGGTCCCCCAGGAGCAGATAGCATGGATAAGGTGCAGGAGCTACTTGAAAAACTGACCTCTCACCTCCTCGGTCTGCATCAGCCCTAGCACCTCATCCTGGAATCGGTCTTCTTCAAGGATGAACAACTCGACCAGCTGCTTAGTTGTCTGCCAGCCCCCTTGGAGTCCCTTACCTTATCGTACTGCGTGCCTTTGGACGCTGACATGAGAAGTCTGTGCTCGCGTCCCTGCACCAGCCACCTAAGGTCCCTAGCTCTGAGTGGTGCGCTCAGTGCAGACTTCAGCTGTGGATCCTTCCCAAGTCTGCTGGAGAGGGTCTCAGCCACCCTGACCCACCTGAACGTAGCTGACTGTGAGATCGATGACTCTGAGGTCAGTGCCTTACAGCCTGCTCTGGGCCACTGTTCCTTGCTCAGTACTGTATTTTGGTGTTAGGTGGAAACTCCTTCTCCATGGCTGTCCTGCAGGGCCTACTTCATCACACTTGGCCACTGTGCAAGCTCTCCCTTCTGGAGCTCCCTGTCCCTCAGGATTACTATGAGGATTCCCAAGCCTCTCTGTGCCAGGATGCTCTTGTAGAGGTATTGCAGGCGCTCAGGGTGACCCTGCAAGCCTGCGAGCCTCTCTCTGTAAGCTTTGCTGGCAGCAGTCCTGACCGAGATTGGGATGCAGTCATCATACACATAGACAGCTCACCTTCCTTACCGTGTCCTCTCAGTCCTCACCTCTGATTCATGTTTCTGATGCATATGGGATCGATTGGGACTAGCGTCATGAGCATGACGTGGTCTTTGCTATGATAATGTGGCCATCTGGAGGTGAAGATCACAGGAAGTATCTGACATCAGCAGCTTCACCCCAGTCCACCCCTGCTGGCTTCACATCTCTCTTGTAAAGACATGAACAGAGAGGCCAGCAGACAGACAGGATCTGAGTACCCACACAAGAGGAAAGGCAGAGAAAAGCCTATTTTGGGAATGCAAGTTCCCTCCCTGCCTTGGGAACCTTCTGGACTCTGGAACATCGATGCCAAGACCCTTGGAGATCTCCAAGGGAGAGGGGCACTCCAGATGTTGAGAAGAGACCACTCCCTCCCACTAGAGATGATCAATTGAACACCTATTTTACATTTCTCCAAACAAATTAACCTTGCCTATGATAAAATAAACATCTCTTTGTAAAGCTGGAAAAAAAAAAAAAAAAGGAAAGCTCCTTTCCTTTTTCCACCAAAAACCCCTCATGGGACCACAATCAGAGACTGACTGCCCGAAGGGACATTACGGAGGTTTACCTATATGCCCACCTCACCCCCGGCCTCCACCAGTCTCTGGGTTGTCTTTCCATCCTCATCAGCTCATCTGAAGATCTGGGTTGTGGATTTGATGCGGCCCACATTGCCATCTGCTCCCCTTGTGGGGTATGCTTGTCTCCTTGATCCAGGAGATCTTTTTCAGATCCAAGCCCCTGAAGATTGTACCCCTTTTCACCCACGGGAGTTTTAGCTCCTACATTTAAGTTGCCTGGTCTGTTTTGAGTAAAGTTTCATGTCTGTTGTTAGTTGAGGGTCTAAGCTATTCTCTTTTTACATTCAAATAGCCTGACACCATTCCTTGAAGAGTCTCCTTTCCCTGTCACATTTCCTTGGCACTGAGCCCCCTCCCTTTTGGCGCTTGCCTGCTATCCTCAGACTGTGTAGTGGATCAGGTTAAGAGCTTTGCCTCTGGGGGCAAGACTCTCTGGATTTGAGTTCCAGCCGAACTCCTCATGAGCTGTGTGGCCTTTAATGACTCACTTAGCCCATGTAGATGCTTCCATCATCTCCTCCAGATGATGGGCAGTAGTACTGACTTCCCAAAGATGATGTGCGCAAAGGAAAGCAAATATCTAGAACAGTGAATGGCATACTGTAAATCACTGACTACTTTTGTTACTTCTCTCCGCCTGCCATTTTAAAATCTGAGAGTGCCCGTTGCCTGTGGGCTATACAGAAATTCAGTGGTAGGCTGGATTGGCCTACTGGCCATCGTTTGTCGGCCCCTGATCTAGAGTTGGATACAAGGGGACTTCAAGAATGTTATGAAAGAGAGAGACTTGAGAGAGAATGGAATTTTCCCATGAAGCCTCTTTTGTCTGGTGTTGAATAACATTGTTTTTCGTTTTTAGACTTTTTTTTTTAATGTACGGAGTAGAGGAGGGCAGGAGCAGATAAGAGTTGACCCTGGGTCTGGCAGATCTGTAGGACCGGAGTCCACGCCGGGGTCACTGTGGTTCTCTGTTCAGGAAAGCTAGTGAGCGCTAAGCCTCTTCCCTGGCATCATGCCCCTGCTCTCCTTCTCCTCTGGCTCTTGGGCTTCCAGGGGAAGGAGCTAGACTTGCTCTCCCTGACCACCCTCCTCGGGAGACTTGGTAAGTGTGGTGTTCTGTCTCTGAGGGTGACAATGATCCCTGTCTCTCCCCCCAACCTCCACCCCCACCCCCCAACTCCCAGGTCCTGAAGGGCATCCCAGAAGGTGCTGCTCACCTCCTCCCTGTGCTCCAGGTGCTAATCAATCTCCTGACTAGCTGCAGTGACTCTCAGGTCTTGTATTCCTTCTGCCGGGAGGCAGGGCTTCCTGAACTTCTGCTGAACCTCTTCAAACATAGCCAGGAGAATCCCGGCATCCCTCAGGTGAGCAGGCCAGGTGCTCTCAAGGCTGACAGACAAGGCCTCCTCTTGGCGCTCTCTTCCCTCCTGCCATACCTGTGTGGCCCAAATGCCCCCTTTCTCCTTCCTCCTCCCTCAACCCAGCAGGTGAGGAATTGCAAACTCTGGGGCCAGGGAGGTCATACCCTTCAGGGTCGTGACTGTGTGTGTGGCTACACAGAATAGTGGCGGGTAGGACAACAGGCGCGCACATGTCCAGTATAAGGGGGGGGGGGGCGCGCAGCGCCTGCCCATTGCTGCCATGTGGGACTGTAGCTTTCTTGGGCAGGTGTTTCTGAGCCAGGCACTGAGATTCAGGGGTTATCTGCCTCACGGACAGTCACCGCTGTGTCAGTGGTCACGGAGTAGTAAGTGGCACGGCTGGGATTGAGACTCGGTGTAGGGCTGCACCTCTACTTCCCAGGCCGGGTCCTGCACTGCAGTGCTGAGAGGGCAGGGGACACGTACAGAGCCAGAAGAGAGGAGCAGTGAAGAGGGCCTAAACCCAGGAGGCTGGAAAGCCACGTTCTGCTGAGAAATAGTGACCTGGGTGTTCCTTGGGACTTTTCAAAATTGATTTGTTTGGAAAGTTTGGAAAACCAATCCTACAAAGCCTGGCAAATTCCCAACTCTGGTGCAGGCCTAAAGGGACATTTTCAGGCCCACTCTTGATATCCCAGAGCCACGCTCTGCCCGCATTGGGCCCCCCTCCTCCTGCTGCACCTTCTGTTCAGACCTGTTTGTTTTTTTTCATACTCTCCCTCCCTCTTGCCTGGCAGCAATCTTGGTATGGGGCCTTCTTAAGGGAGCTGCTGACTGCGATTCAGGCCTACTTTGCCTGCACCTTCAACCTGGAGAGGGGCCAGACAAGCGACAGGTAGGGTGAAAGGCACTTTTTCTCGGTCAGCCATTTTGGCTCCCGTCTTAACCTGATTTCTGCCCCTCTCCATCTCAAAGAGGCTCAATGAGAAGAGCCTAACCTGTGATGGGTGTCAGGTTTAGGGAGTAACGAATGACCTCCTCAGAGTCCAGTGGCCCCTGAAAGACCTTGAGACACCTCCACCTTTGCCTCCAGAACTTCAAGTTCTAAGAATCAGTAGTACCCACACCCTAAATGAAAGGTCAAGATGTGACTGACTAGGAGGGTGTGTGTTTGGGACCAGATATGTATATCTGGTGGGGGTGACATGAAGGTGCAGTTTGATGGGTGCCCCTGCAGGGTCTCTTCTGGCCCAGAACTGGCCCGGTCACCACCCCTGGGCATTTGCGAGAGCGAAGAGAAGAAACCAGGGGCTCATTTTCCCTCCCTAGCCTACAGGTGTTTCAGGAGGCGGCCAACCACTTTCTGGACTTGCTGGGGAAACTCCTGGCCCAACCAGATGACTCTGAGCAGACCCTGCGGAGGGACAGCCTGATGGTAATCTGCTCCACCGCCTCCCCCGCTGTCATCTGTTCCCCCAGCCTCTTCCTTCTGACTCACAGGGCCCTGCCAAGCGAGTCTGGTAGACAATGTGCCCCCACCAGGACCACATGAGTAAGAGAGTGCTCCCAACGCTAAGGAACTATTGGGAGACCTGGAAAAGCAATCGCAAATACTGTATCTCCTTGAAGGGCCTTATAGATCACCTAGCAGGTCCCCACCTGGTTTATTTCTGAGGACGTAACCAAGGTGGCTTCTGGAGGTGAGGGGCAGAAGAATGGGAGGTGGGGGAGCGAATAAGCCAACAGCTAAGTTCTGGCTGAGAACAGAGGCGGTGAGCAGCAGCCTGGTTGTCCTTCCCATTCCCAGTGGGAAACACAGCTAGGCGGCCATCTGACCCTTCTCTACTGAGAGCCTGCACGAATGCCCCTCCCTTTTAAAAGTCAAGAAGCTCATTAAAAGTTTGGCCCAGTGTAGCCGAGTCATGGACCATCCAGCAGCGACATGTTGCTATTGGCCAGCACGTCTCAGATGTCACTGTGCAGTGGATAATATGGAGCACTTAGAATAAACATGCTACCTCCTGAAATGCTAACCCAGTGCAGCTGCTGGGGAGGGATCCAGGAGTCCTCAGGAATTCTTATGCTTGTGGTTCACGGTTAACACTTTGAGAAGTATCAGGTAGCAGCCAGTCAGAGAGAAGTCTTTGAAATGTGACAACCACAATGCTTTTTTTTTTCCAGTGTCCGGAATGCTCACAATTAGACAGTTGGTTGTTCCCGTGTTGTGTTTTAATCCTCGTCTCTTAGGTTCTTAGGGACTCTTGCTGCTTACACTAAGCCCACTCAGCTTCCCAGCACCCTGATGCTAATACTGCCTTTGTCTCCCTTCAGTGCTTGACTGTTTTGTGTGAAACCATGGATGGCAACAGCCAGGCCATCACCAACGCCTTTTACTCCAGCCTGCTGACAACCCAGCGGGCCGTGCTAGATGGGCTCCTTCATGGTTTGACGCTTCCACAGCTCCCCTTCCATACACCCCCAGGTACCCAGGGCAAACCAGAGATCCCTTGACTATAGCCCTTGCTACTGCTGCCTGCTAGCATCGTGCCAGGCATTGAGAGGGCGCTCTGTAAGTTGCTGTGAAGTTAGGAAATATATGGGGATCTAAGAGGAGACACCCGAACTCAGCCTGCATCTTTGCCTTTCTCCGCAGGAGCCCCACAAGTGAGCCAGTCCCTGCGGGAGCAGAGTGAGGATCTACCCGGAGCCATTTCCTCTGCACTGGCCGCCATATGCACTGCTCCAGTGGGGCTGCCCGGCTGCTGGGAAGCCAAGGAACAGGTTGGAGAGGCAATTTCCTGCTCTTCCCAAATGGGACGAAGAGGCCCAGTGTCTCAGACAGGCAGAAAGACAGAAGCTTCTCCGGCCTGAGTTTCCTGCCTCCCTTTACTCAGTGCTCTGGAAGCACGCTCCCAGCCTGGGCCGGGGCTCCTGCAGGAGCGGGTGCAGCCAGAGTCCCAGGGCTGTTGGCCGGCTGCTGAGGGGCAGCTCGGTGATAAGTGACCCAGCCCGGTAGGGCTGCTGTCTGAAGCGGCCTGTGATGCTTCCTGCAGGGCGCAGGCGTCCCACTCCTAGGGGGCCAGCACCACTGTCCTCCAGCCCTGCCTACATTTGGGCCAAAGTTGGCCTTCCCTTTGGTCATGAAGGCTGTGAATCCCATGGGGTCATAGGTTCCTAGTGAACCTGGAGAAGTGGCTGGTAAGGAGTTAGGTGGCCTAGCCAACTGGAGAGGTGAATGCTGTTTGTCCCTTTAGATCTCTCGGTACTTGGCAAGTCAACTGACTGAAAACGGCAGCCAGCTGAGGCCGTCCCTCATCTCTGGATTGCAGCACCCGATCCTGTGCCTACACCTTCTCAAGGTACTGCCCTCCCAGGGCTTCTCAAAGGAGATCTTGAGAGAGAGGGGATGATGGAGAGCCAGCAGTTGAGAGCCATCCTCCCTCCCCCTTTGGAGGACACCTTTTGTTTTCAGATTAGTTCTCTGACCGAGGCGGCCCACTATGATCCAGCCCTCATCAGGACTAGAGAAAGATTCTCTCTCTCTGAGAAGAGGCAGAAGTGGCCTCAAGTGTGAGAATGTGCCGAGAGACTGGCCTGCCTCTCCCCTGAGCCTTTCCGCCCGAACCCAGAGGCCACCCTGCCTGCTAACCGCGCCTCCTTGCTCCCGCAGGTTCTCTACTCCTGCTGCCACGTCAGTGAGCACTTGTGCCGTGTGCTTGGCCAAGAGCCCCTGGCCTTGGAGTCTCTGCTGATGTTGGTCCAGGGCCAGGTAGACCAGCAGCACCATGGGGATCTTGGCGGGGGCAGGGGGATGGGGTGCGCAGCACCTTCTCCAGAGGTTTCGCTGAGAACTCAGCTTTCTTTTCTAGGTCAAAGTTGCAGACTGGGAAGAGTCAGTTGAAGTGACACTCTACCTCCTCTCCCTTCTTGTCCTTCGACTCCAAGCTCTGCCGTCTGGGTGAGTCCTAAAGTAGGGTCTTTCCTCTGAAACCTCCACTCCACACATCTATCCCTGCCACAGAATAGGGTGGGCGGATTGCCCTTAGAAAAAGGACTGGGACAGAGAGAGTGCAGGTTTTTCGACAAAAACAGACTCTGAGTCCACCCACCTTTCTGCTATGGGGGTGGGCATGCAGCCTGAGTGGAGTGCCTGCTGCCCACGGGTGAGGGAAGGCCACTCATACGGCCACCCCACCCCCACCCCCTCATTCCAGGCTGGAGAGGCTGGGCAGCGAGACGGCTGCTCTCTTCACCCACTCACATGTTGTTTCTCTCGGGGTGAGTTTCCAGCCTCTGTACTTCTCCCCTGCTTCGCCCTGCCTCTAGCCTCTTGGGGGAGCAGGGCAGTCAGCACCCTATTTGCAGTTGTCTCTGGGGGTGTTCATCGGGACCAGGGTAGAGCCCGGTTCTTTCTCGGCCTGTCTTGGATGCCGCTCTGATTCAGACATTCCTTCTGCTCCTTGCCCTCTCCCACAGAACGCAGCGGCCTGTCTGATGGAGCAGCTTTGTCATCAAGGAGTGACCCTTGACCTCCAGCCTGTGGAATGGATGGCTGCAGCCACACATGCCCTGTCTGCCCCTGCAGAGGTGAGGTCTGCCAGGGAAGGCACAGGCGTGCTGTCTGCGGATCAAACACCAGGAAAGCAGTGAGGAGTCATGACATCCTTCCTTTCCTAGCCGTGGCTCCTCCCTAGCTCGGCCCCGCTGAGTCAGAGGAGTGAGCTCCAAGGAGTAAGCTTGCCCTGCCTTCGTCAGTCCCCTCCTCCTCCAGAAGCTCACACTCAGTGGGGGGGACTGCCCTTCCCCTTCCAACTGTGGTTGGCACTTGACTTCTCCAGCTCTTTCTCTGAAAGATAGACAAAGTGGTTGAGGTCCTTCTGGGAACACTTCAGGAATTCACCTGCATACCCTGCCGGGCTGTGCATGTCCTCAGGACAGAGTATCCTTTGACTGAATAGCCTAGGACCAAGACTCCTAAGTCCTAACCTCTTCCTGCTGCCACAGGTCAGGGGTGGACCATCCTCCCGGATGAGGAGTTGGGTGCACAGGCCTGTGGGGCTGCCTCATCTCTTAAGGGTCTGCATACCTTCTGCCCTCTCAACAGGTCCGACTGGCTCCACCTGGTGGCTCTGGGTTTTATGACGGCCTCCTCATCCTGCTACTGCAGCTCCTCACCCAGGTATAGGGCCATCCCGGGATGGGTGGGTAGGAAGGGGAGCCACTGGATAAGGGGGATAAAGAAGCAACCGCCACCCACCTCTCTTCTCAAAACTACTGCGATCGACTGGGCCCAGCTGGCCCGGTGTGGGCTGTTTGGAGTGACCCACCCCTTGGGTGTCCGAGGGAACTCTCAGCAGATGCTCTCCTGGGTTGAGGTCAGGACTGAGGGGTGATGGGAGAGGGAAATAAAATGCCTGGGGAAACCACCTCGGTGGGAAACCAGATTTCCTGTCCTCAGAGGCTGAAGACAGGGGTGAAACCGGCATCTGGAGCTTTGACCTCATGTCACCCCCACCCTCTCCCAATGCTGCTCCCACAGGGGAAGACTAGCCTGATACGGGATTTGGTGCATTCGGAAATGTGGACTGTTTTGTGGCACCGCTTCTCCATGGCCCTGAGGCTGCCCAAGGAGGTCTCTATGCAAGAGGATGAACTCTTACTGCCCCATCCACAAAGCCCAGTGCCAGACTGGACGCTGATCTCACCCCAAGGTAATGTTCTAGCAGCACGGCCTCCTCCATGATCCCTTTTCAGGTGGGGGAACGCGGCATAGTCTGCACTGGTGCTGCTCAGGAATGGAACCAGGCATCCTGGGGGACCCAGAACCCGGGGCCCCTGGGCCCTGCTGGGCTCCATTATCCATGTTTCCAGGCATGGCGGCCCTCCTGAGCCTGGCCGTGGCCACCTTCACCCAGGAGCCCCAGTTATGCCTGAGCCACCTGTCTCAGCATGGAAGTATCCTCATGTCCACCCTGACACACCTGCTCTCGGACAGCTTCCTGCAACAGCTAGCCCGGGCGTGAGTGTGAGCTGGAGGAGGGACACACATGGGGCAGAGCCTGGGAATCTGCAGTCAGGGTTGGAGGAGGGAAGGCAGGAAAGAAGTGGGCGGCAGCTTGAGCTGTGAGGCAAGAAATGGAAGGAGGATTAGGCCAAGATCCCGGATTGCTGAGATCGGGAAGGAAGGAGAAACTGGAGAAGCAAATTTGAAAAGAACGAGAATAGAATTATCAAGGGGATAAAGGGCCCAAGACCCTTTCCAAGTGTCACCTTCCCCATCCTGCTCCACAGGCCTCACGGCGCTGAGCTCCTCCCAGCGGTGGTGCTCTCTGTCTGCCAGCTTCTCTGCTTCCCCTTCGCCCTGGATGTGGATGCCAACCTCCTTGTGGGCATCTTGGCTGACCTCAGAGATTCGCAAGTCGCTGCCCACCTTCTGCAGGTACTTGAGAAGCTCTCCAGGCCTGACCGTGGGAGAGGGAGAGGGCCACACTCAGTGCAGTGTGCTCTCCGTCACTTCCTAGGCTCCCTGCCCCCCCCCCCCAGCAGAGTGTGGTGTCTGGCTTGATCTAGCAGCTGGAGGGGAGAAAGTAGTCAGCCCTGAACAGAGGCCCATGGTCAGAACTGGGGCTGCTATCTCTTTTTCCCATCAGCCTCTTGTCTGGACTTTATGGGCCCACAGTGAGGGAAGGTATGCTAGTCTAGGGCCCCTCGAGACTCAACCCAGTGGCCAGGAATCACTTCTCCGCCTCTCCATGGCATGAAGCAGTGGATCTTTAGGAGGCAGAGAGACCAAGTCCTCACCGAGCAAGGGACGAACTTGGCAAGACCCCGCAGACGGGGTGCCAGCTTGTGTCTTTTCTGGGTGCTGGGGTGGGCGTGAGCCAACTCGGCCGTGGTATTTCTCACCATAGCTTGACTTTCCTCTCTCCCAGCTCTCGGGCTCCTTCTAGCTACGAGATGCAAGAGCTCTCTGTCTCACATCACGCCTTTTCTCTGCGTCCCCCCATCTCCCCAGGTCTGCTGCCATCATCTTCTGCTTCCACAAGTTGAGCTGCCAATGAGTCTCCTCACACGCCTGGCCCTCACCGAACCCACGTCTCTCAGCCAGTTTGTGAATGCTGTGGCGTCCTCCCCCAGCACCTTCACCTCCTTCTTCTCAGATGCCCTCTTGGGTGACCAGCCACTGCTCACCTCTGACCTTCTTTCCCTGCTGGCTCACGCAGCCCGGGTACTGACCCCCAGCCACGTGTCTTTTGTCCAAGAACTCCTGGCTGGCTCTGATGAATCCTATCGGCCCCTGCGCAGCCTCCTGGGCCATCCAAGGAATTCCGTGCGCACCCGCATCTATGGTCTCTTGGGACACTTGCTCCAGCACAGCATGGCCCTGCGTGGGGCACTACAGAGCCAGGCTGGACTTCTCAACCTGCTGCTGCTGGGGCTTGGAGATAAGGACCCTGCTGTGCGGCGCAATGCCAGTTTTGCTGTGGGAAATGCAGCGTACCAGGCTGGTCCCCTGGGATCCGCCCTGGCAGCTGCAGTGCCCAGTTTGACCCAGCTGCTGGGAGATCCTCAGGCTGGCATCCGGCGCAATGCTGCATCCGCTCTGGGCAACTTGGGGCCTGAGGGACTCGGGGAGGAGTTGTTACAGTGCCAAGTACCCCAACGGCTCCTAGAGATGGCATGTGGAGACCCTCAGCCAAATGTGAAGGAGGCTGCGCTCATTGCCCTCCGGAGCCTCCAGCAGGAGCCCTGCATCCATCAGGTACACCACACTGGGGAGCTTAGGGGCCTTGGATGGTCAGGGTCTCTGTAGGCACAACATTTGTCTGCAGTAGTTTCTAAGGAACCGGGCCATGCAGAAACCCAAACCTTGTCCCTCCCAGGGGGTTCTCACTTATCACTCCCCACCCTGAAGAAGGGAAAGGACCTGGATGGAGGGCCTCCCTGGGCAGGGCAATGCCTGGAATCTCAAGGCCAGCTCCATGTTTTCTAGAAGAGGTGCAGGATGGAGAGGGGAAGAGTAGGAGATGTTGAAGTGTAGAGTGGCCTCGTTCTGACGGCCATGAAGGTGATAACCATCTTTCTTGGTACTCAACTTGCTGAGGATATGGCCCGGGCCACATCTGACCTCCACTAACTTCAGAAGGGAGGAAAAAAAATCCAACTCAACACCAGCCCCAGGCTGGTCAGACACAATGCCTCCACCGCCGTCCTCCTCTCTGTTCTTCAGTCAACCATGCCTCCCTCCCGCGCCGCTCTGCTTCGTTACTGGGTTGGATAATCCATTGCATTGACCACACAGCACTCCCAGACAGTATTCACCAATATGTGGCTTTGTTAGAGAAGTTCACAGGTTACCCAAGCCGGGCTCAGAAAGCATAAAGGATGCAGTCTTTGGTTCACAGCAGTGCCTCTTCTCAGCCAGCAGCCCACTCTCTGTCTGGTCCCTTAGCCTCTTGACTGGTTCTGTTGGCCAGGAGGCCTGCCACTGTGACTCACAGGCTTGCTGTTGCCCCTCTGCTCTGCCTCATGGTCTCCATGCTGTGGTCTCCTTCGCTTCCTCTGCCATTCCAGCAAGGGCTCTTGCCCATGCTCCCCTGGTGGCTCTTTTTTCTTGACCGTCCTGGTAGTTGCTCTTTCTGTTTCTGGAGTGGTTTTCGTATACCTAGGGGAATGGCAAAACTGACTAATTCCCAAGTAGCATCCTCTATGCCGTATATGCACGGTCCCACACAGTCACTATGTTTGTCTGGGTTGACTAGAGAAACAAATTCATAGACACTCATCTGTGTATAGGAGAGAGCTTTATATAAAGAGTAATTGTACATTAAGAAAACATCCCAGCCCAGTCCAGATCAAGTCCTTAAGTCCAATATGAAGCCCATATGTCCAGTACCAGTCTATAAATTACTCTTCAGATTCCTGCAACACATGCAATGATGCCGAGTGCAGGAAGATCATAGGCCAGTGGGTGGAAAGTTTTGTGGCTCCAGTGGTGGTGGAAGCATCTTAGCGCTGGTGTGGGTCTCCATGTGGCTCCTTCAGCTCCAAGACTCTGGCTGCCATCAGCATAGCTCCATGTAGCTTGTCAACAGGAATGACTCCCGGGGAGTGTGTGTGTGTGTCCCAACTCCAGCAAGCTATTTCTATCCCTAGCGCCTCTGAATGAGGTCATCAAGCTGTGATCTGAATGACAGGCTAACTGAATGACCCCTTAACTCTTAATCATCTCAAGTTGTCAACAGATTATGTAACTACCACAGTCACTTAGTGGGAATTCTAGAGGAGTTGATGGAAGAGTCCTAAGTAATTAATTCCACTATACCACTCATGTGAACAGCACGATGCTCAATATTTTTCCTTTTGTTATCTGGTTTAAGCTATTACTGTTCTCATTTTGAGCATTAGAAAATTCAGGCACAAAGCTCTTAGTAACTTGTCCATCTTACAAAGTTAGTAGGTAGAATTGGACTTTGGAACTCAGAAGTCTAAGTCCAGAACCCATACTCTTAACCATGACTTCATTCTGCCTCTTCTGCTCAGTTCCAATATATAAAGAGCTCAATGGAAATCACCCACTCGCTTATAGCAGTACAATGGGGTAACATTTAGTGGTTCCTGCAGAATGGAAATGGTGGTGGGACGGTGATGATATTTTCAGAATTCCTGACCATCCAATGGGGAGATAATAAAAGAGATCCATGATGGTCCTGCAGTTGGGACCCACTGGTCTGGACCCCAGACTGCACTTCAGATCTGTGGGCCTCCTGCTGCTGCTGCATGCATTCCCTCAAGAGCATGGGCCCTTGGTTCCTTGGCTTCATGGCCTAACCAAAGAGAATGTAAGTAAATCTCTTCTCCCACATCATCTATTGCAAGTCCCCCAGACCCCCTTTCTTCTTCCTTCCTATCTTAGAGTTGGAACTTCCGGGCCCATGGGAATTTCTCTGCGCCCCAGAAACTATTGTTCCTGAGTCTCATGCCCTGTTTTGTCATCTGCTCTCTGACCCACAGGTGCTGGTGTCCCTGGGTGCCAGTGAGAAATTAGCCTTGCTCTCGCTGGGCAATCAGTTCGTGTCACCCAATAGCAGCAGTCCCAGACCTGCCTCTGCTAAGCACTGCAGGAAACTTATTCACCTCCTGAGGCCAAGCCACAGCACGTGATTCCAGATTCCTGGGGTCCAAGCCTCCAACCTTCCTTGCCCTACAGTTTCCAGCTTTCCTTTTTCTACTACACCAGCCGCCAACTCAACCAAGAGCTAAAGAGACTAAAGAGATTTACACAAGGTGCCAACTCAACTCAGAATGAGAAACTAGAAGAGATATGTGCAGAAAGCTCTTTCCTTCGCAGGTTCAGGATGATGTCACCCAGCGAACTTCAAGAAGATTCCTTCTTTCCCTACAGCCAGAGCTTTGTTTCTCCCCAGAGTGGACCTGAGGAGAATACCTTCTACCCAAGAGATCTCTTCCTTTCTAAGCGCCGCTTATCATCTTCCCAGAAAGTTCCTGCTTCCGGGGTACGGGCCCCGGGACAGAGATAAAGACAGAGCCACTTCCAGCTCTAGGCTTTCGGGATATAAGCCATCAGCCCCGTTGTTGAGGGGGTCCCCAGACCTTAGTCCGCATTCCCATCTTTGGGTGGGGTTGGGGAGTATATCTTTCTTTTTTAAACTCTGTTTATAAACTCTTTTAATAAACGACATGTCTCACCTGCTGGGACTGCCATAGTAAGGGGTTGGGAAGCTCCACCTTTCTTGTAGCTTCTTGGTGGTGTTTCAGCACTGGCTCCCCCGTGGTTTGTGTGGGGCCTGGGTTGGGAGTGTGTTTCTGTCGTTTCCCACCCTCCAGCATTCGTTCATCTCACATAGCTCTATGTCGTCACCTACTTGAAAGCGAAAGCCAGGGGAGCTGGGCTAGGAAAAGATAAGATTAAACCCAGAGGTAAAATGAGTTTCTTTGAGATATCTGGCCTCACCACTCATTTTCATACTTGGGGGAGTTTCATTGTATAAGGAATCCCAACTGTTGGAGAAGGGCAGCTATTTGTGGAAGTTGTACAATTTAACAAAAAGGTATTTGGAAGACCTATTAGTTAGAATCTTAATCTAACTGGAAACCTACTTAACCCAGTGGGTGACTTGGGCTCAGCTTCCCAGGCTTGGGAATAGTTAATAGTTTCTCTCTTCATAAAACAGGGAGAAGTCTTTCTGCCCTTTCCTAAATTCCAAGTGTTTTCAAGATGAGGAC